ACACGGGCGTAAAAATATACAAAAAATCCTAAGAAAACCCTGTCACCGTATTCAGTAGTAAACGAGCTAAACCATTCCATTTAAGAAGTCAAAACATTTAGAATAGTATGCAAAGCCGCAAAGCGACTTTTCATCAGTAATAAAATAAAATCAGCTGATGACAAGATAAAGGCTACGTGGAAAATAATACAGAATGAGACAGGTAGGAAACGATTAAAAAATTCGGAATTTTGTTTAAACACTCAAAGGGGACAGATTTCGTCAAGCAAAGATGTAGCTCAGGAGTTTGAGGCATTTTTTGCTAATATACCTGTCACAACAACTGCTCATTTAGAATCATCAGCCAGACTATCGTTAACTTTGCTTAGAGAAAATGTCAAATCATGCAAAGACGATTTTAGTTTTCATTATACCAATCCTTTAGAGATAATAAAGGTTTTTAAAGAAATCAAGATCAAATCAACTGAGGACCTTTGGGGACTATCGGTGAAAGTATGCGGATCACTTATCCGAACTTTAGCGCCGTATCTGGCTTTGATTTTCAATAAAAGTATAGATGACGGTGTCTTCCCGAACCTAATGAAATACAGTAAAGTTATTCCATTATTCAAAAATGGTGACACTAAGGAACCAAACAACTATAGGCCTGTGTCTGTTCTGCCGGTTCTTAGCAAAGTGTTTGAAAAGTTAATGCTATCTCGGATGCTTCATCACTTTGATAAACATGCCATCTTCCATCACCAACAATACGGTTTCACTAAAGGTCGTTGTACAACTGACGCCGGTGTCACTTTGATAAAGGAGGTATTCGGTGCTTGGGAGGAAGCACAGGATGCTGTTGGTGTCTTTTGCGACCTCTCAAAGGCGTTCGATTGCGTTGATCATGAAACACTCTTGCTGAAATTAGATCATTACGGGATTAGACATACTGCACTCCGTCTACTAAAGTCATATTTAGAGGATAGGCAGCTGAGAGTTCATGTAGGTGGTTCTAACTCCCGGGGCTCTGAGATAAGAATTGGCGTACCGCAAGGTTCAATTTTGGGTCCGTTTCTCTTCTTAGTGTATGTTAATGACTTGCCATTTCTATTTAAAACTGAGCCAAGAATGGTGCTGTTTGCAGATGATACATCATTAATTTTTAGAATAGGTCGACGTGTTAATAATTTTGACGAAGTAAACAGATCCATTCATCAAGTTCATAATTGGTTTACAGTCAATAATTTAGCACTTAACGAGAAAAAAACAAAATGTATTAAATTTAGCTTGCCCAACGTACACAGTAATGATTGTGACATAATTTTAAATGGGCAAAAGTTAGAATTTGTTAACGAGACTATGTTCCTAGGTATTAAGCTAGACAATAAACTTCAATGGGGTTCCCACATAAAGACGCTTTCGGGAAGACTGAGCTCAGCTGTTTTTGCAGTTAGACAGATTAGACAGCTCACAGACGTGAACACAGCAAGGCTTGTTTATTTTAGCTATTTTCACAGCATTATGTCGTACGGAATTTTGCTGTGGGGTCGAGCTGCGGAAGTAGATTCAATATTTATTTTGCAAAAGCGGGCTATCCGAGCGATATATAACTTGCCCCCTCGTGAATCTCTGAGAGAACTATTTAAAACGATAAATATCCTAACGGTACCTTGTCAGTTTATATATGAAAACATTATGTACGTAAGGAAAAATTTGCAATTATTTGAAAAAAGAAGCGATAGACATAATTTTAATACAAGAGGCAAAGATAGGCTGGCTGTGCCACGATTCCGTCTGTCCAAAGTACAGAAATCCTTTATGGGGTTCTGTGTAAATTGTTACAATAAAATTCCAAGAAGTGTATTAAATCTTAATGAACGAAAATTTAAAACTTATATTAAACGCGAATTATGTAGACAGGCATACTACAAACTTTCAGATTATATTGAGGACAAGAATGCCTGGCATCATGTTGGTTCGGCTCCACTGGACAATACTCAAATATGTAGTCATTAGTTATTGAAATTCTCAAAATTAATGAAACCTTGAATGAGTTTTTAAAGAAGCATTCTTTTGGATTGTGAGTACGCATATGTGAGCACCATGTTCGAGACAACAAAGGATTAAAATTTTAATGATAGATAAACCATCATTTGTTCCTTTTTATTAACAACTTGTCTCTGCATTGTTCTCACATAGGGGTACAGTAATGTATAAAAAATGTATTATTTATGAATTGTAAAACAAATATTTTTTTTAAAAGAGTAACGATGGAGTTTCTTGCTCGTTCTTCTCCATTCGAAACTACAATTTGGAACGAGCACCTAGCTTCACTGACGAACAGACTGACAGACTACTATTCTATTTTGACGTTTCAAAAGTACCTATTTATGGTTTATTTGGAATAAATGATTTTGATTTGATTTGAAAAAACTCCCCACGGAAGTTATCGTCTGTGTCAATGACTATGAGCCACACAACAGCTAAAATACCTTACTTTAATTAACATGATCGACTCCCGCGACTGTGAAGCCAGTAAAGTAATTTGTTCTCGTACATTACCCTCGGTTTTACGGCCTATCGTTACAAGGAGTCACAAATTAACTTAGTATGAAGTTTCCAACTCCCGTAAACGAAGTTATGGGAGACATACTTCGAATATTGACAATCCTCGTGTGTTAAAGACGTTGCAAACAAGAAATTATCTAAAGCTAATTTGCTCACAAATATCAGAAATAAATTAGAACTTTTTTTTCATTTTTGCCCCGAAACCGTATGTTACCTTATTGTTCCGAGAAATTGTTATTATAATATAAATCTTTTCATTCTCTGTTAAGGTTTCTTTTTCTGGGAAATAAATAAATTAACTATACGCCTACATTAAAGATGACTTGGTCTACCTACATTTTAGACTTTTTTACCCAAATGAGCGATGATATGATGCATGAACTTATAAGTTGGTGCTTCACGAAATGGCTCTATCTACATCTTTACGGGTAGCGATTACCGTCATAACGTACTTTTATATGAGCCAAGTTCCATTTCCAAGTCGGCTGTTCTGTACCGATATGGCCCGGTTAAAGTTCTGACGTGTCGTAAACGAAGCTATTACACGGTGACAAATGAATGTGAATGAAACGTTATGACGACAGTAATTCGTTCAAGTTTTTGAATTAAGAAGGTGCATGGGTTGCTGTTCCTAAATTTTAGCTTTGCATGTTAAAGATTTTGTGATTTTTGTTTTATTGAAATAATGAAGCCACGTCACGAGCTCCGTATGTTTTTCTTTAGGTACACAAACAAACGAATATTTTTTTAGTGATTGATCCAGAAATAATTATTAACTTTACTTTTAATTGGAAACTCACAACGTTTCTACTTGAAAAATATTTATGAACCCGCTTTCTGGTAATTATCCATACTAATATTATGAAAAAGGTATACTTATAATATTATAAAGCTGAAGAGTTTGTTTGTTTGTTTGATTGCACTAATGTCCTGAAATACTGGTTCGAATTGAATAATTACTTTTGTGTTTGTTAGTCTATTTATCGAGGAAGGCTTATAGGCTATAAAACATCACGCTATGATCTGTAGGAGCTGAGCAGCGGGTGAAACCGCTAAAGTAGCTAGTACTAAATAAATATTCGCAAAGAACAAAAAGTAACAACACGGTATATTAAAATGATAACAATAAACAAATAATATAGAAAAAGTACTTTAACTGAATACATCAAATGAAATCTTTCCCCGTATTTCCTTGTTGAGCAGTCATATAATTTATTGTCAATCATTTTGACAAATCTTTGACGCTGAATCTGGCACTCCAATTACTTCGTACATTTCCTTTATCATCGTTCATCGTGCATCACAGGAATGGGAAGTAGCATTCTTGGCATTGTCCTTCACTTTTGTTTTTAAATAAAATCCGTGACGAAACAAGATTACAGTACGAATGAATATACGTGACAGTAAGAATGAATACGAACATTAACGAAAAAAAAAAATATAATAAAAATACTCACTTTTAGATGTGGTCAAAATAACGAATTCGAAGGAAAGTGCTGTATTTTTCTATTCTTTTTTTATGTGATAGGTCGGCAAACGAGCAGACGGATTACCTGATGGTAAGCAATCAGCACCGCCCATGGACACCCGCAACAACAGAGGAGTTACGAGTGCGTTGCCGACCTTTTGGGGATTAGGGATTTGGGAGATTAAGGGATTGGGAAGGGATTTGGGGATGGGAAGGATTGGCAAAACACAACGTATGTATGAATGGTAAAACAATATTGATACCTACACAGATGTATCATTGAAAATGTGTTTAGTTTAGATATTACTTGGGTTTGAGTGGATAGGATGGTGACATGACAATAAAGGTGCCTAAGGGTATTTGTATTAATAAAAAAAATAATATTTAATTAATTGCGGCAATGAAAACTCCCTACTTATGATGTAACATATGAATATTTACCAAAATAATACGTGCTTATGCTTAACGCTTACGCTTTTGCGTAGAAAAATATGCTATCTAAAGTAAGAACATGTTATTCCCAATGTATGCCCAACATTAGTCTTCTAAAAGCAAGCAATTGGGTAGTTTCCTAGGTCAAAAATAAATTTATTTGACGTTTCAATACAATAAAATATTGAAAAATAACTAAACTTTTATTCAACGATCTATGGATACACAAAGTTTTAGATATTTTTTTGCAAATTTTTAAGTAAAATGTAACGCTTTTAACGCAAAAACACTATGACTTCATAACTCAGTGTTTCATACAAATTTTATAGAAAAGTATCGTTTTGACATTTGAATAAAAGTATTGAATTTGACCAGTTGGAAACTACCGTGTTGCTAAAAAGCCGTCAAAATGAGTAAATGAATGTAAACGGATGGCCTGATGATAGGATATCTTCGTGGCCTATGAAAGCCCGTAACGCTAATGGGTTAACAAGTGAAGCTTGGAGGGTTTTTACCTTGAAATCGATTTCTAAATAATAATTTCTGTTACCAGGCATGTCTTAAGTGATGGAAGATTAGTGGTGGGAGCAAGACGGTCGTTGATCGATGCGGGGAGCGGCGCGGGCGCCATGTTGCGGTGTCGGGCATCAAACAGGGCAGGCACTGTGCTATCCAGACCAGTAATGCTGCAACCAGGTAGGATTTACAATTTACTTTTTTCTATGGGTTCAAAAAAGAGGGTTGGGTTTATTAACAAATGGATTAAAATATATTGATAATTGGATTCATTATGTGGTAAGGTTAACTTATTTCTTAACACTTGCGCAATATACAATGGATTTAATGCCTTAGGCGCTCTCTACCAGTCGATCTTTGGATTGTAGAAAAATAGAGGTGGTTTTCTGACGTATGATTGTTTGATATGGTTACTAGACTAGTTTCATGCTACTATATGATCCCCTAGTTGTGGGTATATCCGTGTAACATAAGTTATAATACTATTTTCAATTTGTCGAATTAATTATAATGTTAAAAAGTTATGCGAGGCCTTTCAAAATAATGTTTTACTTTCAATAAGTTCAAAGTAATTTTAATCGAAATAAACTTCTCTTCTGTCTCTTAATCACACCTATAAAGTATAATATCTATAAATCCCGTTTATAAACACTGAAATGAAACACGTCATATTTTAAAACCGTAAAATAATTTATAAACAAAATACAGTTAACAACTTCTATAGATTCGACAAAACTAAACAAAAGCATTCAGATAATAAACTCGAGTCCCACGTACAGATTGGAACTGATTACAGGATCCTTTCGTAACCTTGAGTTTCTTTATTACCATAATTATAACACGAAATTAACCAGTTTCAAACATGGGTGGCTTATTCAAACAATGAAATTTATTCGAGGGTTCGACCTCGTACTGCAAAATTTGTGATGAATAAATAATATAGAATTATTTTATTAATTTATACCTATGTTTGGCTGAAGGAACCATTTTAAATGAGAATTAACTACAAGTTAAATAAAAATCATGTTGCAATCATAGTATATCTAAATTTACGTTTTAAAACCAAACCAAAATGGACGATGAGGTATACAGGCCCGGATCTGTAGAAGGATTACCTGATGGTAAGCAATCGGCGCCCATACATGCAACGCAAAGGAGTTACGATTGCGTTGATGGCAACTTAAGAATTCGGGGAGAGAAAAAAGATTGGGCTGCCAGTAACCTCGCTCACACGGTGAAACATAACGCTATGGTTGTTTGATGCCCGTTCTCTGTAAGGCCATGGTATTACTTCGGTCGAACAGTTTCGTGCTGAAGCATGACTCTCCCACATTAAAATCGGTATAAATTGCAATTATAGGAACAAAATTAACTAAATAAGGAGGATTGTTATTAGTGCGAATTACGTTTTGATTATGGCTTACACAAAGATAACTTCATAATAGTTCGTATCTCAATTACGGCCGGCCGTAACGGGAAATTATAAAAACTGTAAACAACGGACTTGCGTAATAAACAGATGTACGGCAAGAGGGCAAAACAAATTACAACTTCGAGTCGAGTTGGACCAATTAACTTTCCGTTACAGCGAGGGAAATATGAAATAAAATGAAAAACAGCCCACGGCTCCCGACTTTTTTTACACGGAAAACTTTTAATTAAGGGATTAAAAATGACATTAGAGTGAGTTCGCAGCAACGTAACTTTCCCTTTGTTTCCTGAATACCCGCAAGGAAGCACGGACGCTCCTAAAATTACAATTAGATAAATAAATAAGCATCCTGTACGTATTGCCTTAATTCTCTATTAAGCCTTGTTAAAATCTCACCTCCCCAGAGGACAGGAAAGAAAAATAATCTACAAACTTAGTTTCGTAACATTCATTAAGAATGTTGGGAAGTTAGAAGCATTTCCCAGGGACATTAGAAAGAAAAGTGGGTTATTTATCAACAAATTTAATTAAGTATTAGTAATTACCTCTTTATTTATATTAACTTTCGTCTGTATTTATGTTCACGATAAAAGTTAATTATTAAAAAGAAGCAACGGCCTTATGGTTTTATTTTTGTTCTTGTTTAAAATGAAAGTAAAGTAAAAATTTGTTGAAATTCTTCTAAATTAACTAAAATTCGCGGGTTACTCACGTGTAAATGATGAGAAAAGCTCTACTAGTTTTACTAGTAGTACTAGCGTAGACTGCGCGACGTCGCCGCGTCCGCGCACGCTGCTCATGAGGAAGAACCCCTCTGTGGTTCGAAACTAGTAGAGCTTTTCTCATCATTTACACGTGAGTAACCCGCGAATTTTAGTTAATTTAGTATGTCTCACGATAGTTATTATAAAAAGAAATGCTTCTAATCCAATCTCAAATATAGTCGGGACAACTTGTCATATCGAAGTAAATTGTAATAGACATTTAAGTTACAGAGTGAACAATTCGTAGCCTGTGGTTTACTGCGAACGTAGTATAATATTAATTACGGCATTGTAAATTAATACTAAAATACCGCGAAACTACCTACTACACTTAGTTATTACAACTAAAATCTTAAACTTCAGTTTATTTAATGGAACTAGGTCGAGCGAACTTCTATCTAGTGTACCTATCAATCCAAATTTACTATTCATCATAACATTCATTTGTTTTCAGACTTTAATATATTTGGAAAGATGAATATTTTTCACTCCAATTACTTTTCCACTGAGGGACGAGGAAAGTTTTAATTAAAGATTGAGCGACATTATGTCCCTCATCTCGGAAAAATAACCTTGTTATAACGAAGCCGACGGTCTGTTATTGAAAATAATTTTGTTTCTGTACCTACGCCTAGCTTTAATACTTTATGTACAGACTGTACGAGTAAAGTGTAATTTGCCATAATACATTTTTGTTTGAAGTATCAGCTTTGTACACAAGGGATGTTCTATTGTTCAATTTGTTATTATATTTCGCTACATGATCGATGTATGTTCGGCAATATAATGAACAAAATTCGATCAGTCGTTTTTGTTCCTCGTCATATTTAAAGGCACATTAATCAATTGCGTCTGTCAGCTAAGACAAGTCGGCAAACAAATGCTGGAGTGAGCTCGTTAACTCGATGAACTACGGAGCTCCGATACAATGCAAAACCAGGGGAGTTAATGTCGAACAAGCAAGCCACGTTAACGAGTTCCACCGTCTATCGTAAGTGGTAGTAAGAACATCTCTTTTCAAACTCATGAACTGACTCTCAAGTTACAGATTTTACTTACCATATTTTAATATTTTCCCCTACAATGAAGCTAGCTACAAAGGGAAAATTGAAAGGCAACAAATAGGGGCGCAGAAGACGGCTTATTCTCATTCAAATGAGTTTCGAAGAAAGTGTTCGACACTTTGATATTGTGATATTTACTTAGCTACCTCGTTTCAATGTTGTATTGTTTTACATTTCAGTGATAAGCAATCTTTTAGTGTCTCGTCATTGCACAACCTGATTTTTAACTTTCTTGATCTTATTTTAATTACAATCATAACAAATAATCTAAAGTATTGGTTATAAACGGAATTAGAACACTTACTGAGGTACATTGTGTAATAATTCAATTTATTTCTGGCTGAATACAAAAGAACACATAAAAAATTACACAAAAGGCGAAACTTAAATATAGCTTGAAATTGACGGAGTCAAACCTAAGATGGCTTCACAAACAAAGCCATGTCGGACGCAATTATTCCTTTATTTATTATTCCATCTCATTTTTGTTTCGTTATTTCTTTTGACAAGTTATGAAAGTCTCAAGTTACGCATTATTAAAATGAATGCGAACTTTTATAATGCTTTCAAAGCAAATTAAATGAAATGTTCTGTTCTATGAATTCGTTTCTACGTAGGGAAAGTATGTAGGTAAGTACGCAACACACAAAATACTGAGACGGTACAATTAAAATGTTGCATTTCATTTTTGTGTGGTATAAAGCAAAGCTTGAACTAGTCATAAATAAAAGAATATTTTTAATATTCCAAATGTAAAAGTACTGTGAAGGCTAGGTTCGTTTTGTGTTCATTCCTTTACTTCGTTCAAGTTACAAAGTTTTGAGTAAGCTAGTATATTTCGGAGTGCAGAATTTTGTTAGGACTGTGTTTCGTAAACAGGCACAATTATTTTATTTTTCTGAAACACAAACTTTGCCACTTTACATTGTAAACATCGGGGAATTCTTGAATGAGAGAAGTTGGTTTCGAATGAAAATTGATGATATTATCTTAATTTTTTTTTATTTCTTTTTTTTGCTTAGTGGAAGACAACGTTTTATCCCATACTGCTCGTCAGCTGATACCGGCAAAGATTGGTGGTGCTGTGGTACTGAGGTGTGAACTGTCTCCACAAGTTGGTTTAGTGGACATTACGTGGCTGCAAGATGGCCTGCCTTTGTCTTCAGGATATTTGAGTGGTGGTAAGAGAAAAAGTTCAAAACACACTATGAAAATGCATAAACAAAAAAATGCTGTAAGAAAAATATTACTTAGTACCTTTTTCCTTTTAAAATACAATGGTAAGTTTGCAAGCAATGAATAAATAATCTACAATGGTCTGTTTTATTTTAGAACCTCGTTGGGTATCTGGAGCTAGTGGCCTTCTACTTGGTCTAGACCTGACTCAGGCGGACATTCAGGCAGAATATTCATGCGTGGCTCTCGACACTCCCAGCCCGCCTTTGAAGCTCACTACCGACGGTCAGTCTAATATAGCTTTATGCATTTAGAATGTCTTCAAATTTAGTCTGCAGAAGTTGGTACGACTGAAAGTGTTTGTCAAAGATAAATACATACGATTTAGGTAATATAACATAGAGATATTATTCAGCTAATGAAATGCGAAGTTTAAAATATCCTTTTGGTGTCTTTTTCGACGAATGATTTCCAAAAACATATTTTCTGTTTGTCAAGCCACATACTTAAACTAAACTCTATATATAGCTGTTGGTTTTCCAAGAATATTATAAAGAAAATGAAATATTTTTAACATTTTCATAATAAAAAGCTCAAGCAAATGTCAGAATTATTTTGGTATTGCATTTAATTTCTCTTCTATAATCGTTATAAATTTTAGTAGTATAACCTACATTATCTTAATTTTAAATTGTTTTTCTTTTTGTGTAGACAGTAGCTGGTTGGAAAATATAGAATTAAATTCTGTGGAGGCTCGCGCTGGAGATACAATTGTGCTTCCGTGTATATTACGACATTTTAGCGGCCATGCTGTAAGGTAAATCGTGCTTTTACTACTTTAACTATTTTATTTACATGTTTTCATAATTTTAAGATGGAAAATGAATATTGGACCGGTTTTAATAAATATTCTCGTAAAGAAATGAACTTTACTACTTAATCGAAATAGAAGCTTAATACCATTATGGTGTTAGGTTTCTGTCAATAGCTCTGTAATTCATGACCAATGATTAAACGTTGTAAATATCATGTTTATCGTTAAAGTCATTTATTTCAAGTAGACTACTATAGGCACTTTTTAGAAAGACCACTGCAGTGTAATGGTACTTTGAAAATGTTTTTTACACTTTTGAATATCGCTCTAATAACATTAAACCTATCTTTAATTATCAAATAAATTCTTTGCACGTCTCATCATTAACATAATATTCGGTCATTGGTAACTCTGATACCTATTTCGATGATTCATACGAATGAAGGTATAGCAAAATTAAATCATCAGTTGGCAGCGGCAGGAAGCTTCGGGGACATGGGCAGCAGTATCAGCGGAAGGCACAGTGCGTGGTGGATCCCTTGTTATATCATCAGCTCGAGCTCATCATGCTGCAAGATACGCCTGTTCTTCCAACCCAGAGTCACCAACCAGAGTTCTTGTTAAACTGGTCGTGTACGAACCTCTGTCCGTTAGCGTAACACCGAACCCATTGGTAAGTTAATATGAATTTTGTTATTTCATTGAGAGTTTGGTAAAAGTGTTGCCTGCTATACTTTTTATAAACTCAAATAAATCATTTATAAACACACTAAATCTTTGTATCAATTAAATAAATAGCGATGATGAAATGCCTACTAACTGCTTTTTTTTAGAGACTGTGATTTTAGTGTCACTTATCTCTAGGGGCGGCGTTTATATTTTAACAGCTATCAATTAAATCACCTCCCAACAATACCAAAGAATATTACGGCATTTACAAGAAAATTAAAAATAGTAAATCTCTAAAAAAATATCAGTTAGGAGGTAAAGATACTGCACCGGCGACATAAAAATTAAAAATAACCAAGGACCTAATAAATTTTGTTTCTCTATGAATCCCGACACAATCTGAATTTTTAGGGGCAATGGCACGAACGCCAGCAAATAAATTCCTAGAATTGAACATAAAAATGTTTTATCATTAGATACTTGTGTCTAATATAACTGTCAAACTCTTTTATCCTAAGCAAATTACTCCTTTTGTAGATGGTAGGTACAGGTGGTTCTGGTCATCTCAACTGCTCAGTAACGGGAGGTCGTGGTGGAGGGGTCACGTTAAGTTGGCAACATGAAGGCAGGCCATTACACGCTCCTCAGTCCCGCCTCAGTCTTGGTCCAGTTCGCCCACATCACGCTGGTCTCTACCAGTGTACCGCACACGACCATTCTGATTCCGCTGTCTCTGGTGCCGAGTTAGTTATTGCTGGTAACAATTGCATTTTTATAATAACTAAGTATCATGATAAATATTTTATTCAAAAAGTCAAAAAAGTCAAAAATCATTTATTCCAATTAGACCTTTACAGGGACTTTTGAACGTCAAACAAAATTAAAAAAAAAAATAGTGTCAGTCTGTCGGCCAGTCCTCTTAGTGAAGCTATTTGCTCGTTCCAAAGTGTAGATTCCGATGGAGAAGAACGAGCAAGAAACTCCATGGTTACTCTTTTTAAATCAGTTACACATACAGATTCCTTTGATTATTTTATTATTTAATATATCAAACTCCAAGCGAACGCGCAATAATTTATCTTCTATTGTGTCTCGAATTAAAACGATTGAAAGGTTAGAATAATCATTTACTTACGTAAATATAAGCTGGTCGGTATCCGGCTAGTCAGACTGGCAGAATCGCCCCGCTCATCAATAATAGTCCCGGTGTGATTTGGAACTCGTTGAGTTTTTCTCAGTAAATGAACGTGATTCGTTATTTTCAATAAAAAATTGCCTTGTAATTTTTAGAAGTGAGATAGCCATGACTTCCTAATTTTATAGCTTTATTTTTTTTGAAATAAATCTGACCTTTACTCTGAGAAATAAATTTCAAAAAAGGAAAACAAATTTCTAGTCCCCGTTATTTATTGTTAATTGTTGATGCTTAAAGAGACAATGGCATAGCTAATACTAATTTTAACGCAAATAATATTATTGTACATTCTTTGTAGTAAAACGCTAATTTCCTATAAGCCCAAAAATGGCTTTTTCGATATGTATACAGTACGTATATAGGTCGGCAATCAAGATTCCAAAAGAAAAGGAAAAAATCAACTCAAACCCGCCTTATAAGAAAAATGCATGGGATAGACAATTTATAGGAAGCAGAGACACATATCTGCTCCTTTTTAATTATTTAACCTCAAGGCTAACTGTCTGCGGGCAATTATCTATTAGTAGAACGCTAATTTCCTAATACTTGACTACTCAACATATCACAGATCTTAACGTAACATAAACTTGGATTCCCGTTTATCTTCATTCCGGTTTCCAGACAGGCCACCACGGTTAGTATCAACGTTCAGTGGAGCGGTGACTAGGATCGGACAGAGTATAGTCATTAGATGCGCAGCCACTGGCGTGCCTTCTCCCCGTATACTCTGGACTTTAGATGACAGACCACTGCCAGCTGCTCCCGACAAGTAAGTTTATATATATTATATTTCACAGAATAATAAACTCTGATACGCGTTGTTTTAAAGCTTAATTTAGTTTGAAAGTGTGTTATTGGAGAGACTTTCTTTTATGTAACCCAAACGAGGAGACGGATTACCTGATGGTAAACTGTAAAACACTCGCAAGACTTGATGAGTAACGAGTGAGTAGCCGGCGTTTTCGTGATCGAAGTTTCATATATTTTGGGATTGTAGGAGGGGAAAAAAGATTGGGTCTCATTCTTCAAGCATAGGACTTTATAAATGAACATCTACTTGAATTAAATGCATCTCTTTACATTAAATTTATTTTTTAAAAAAACAAGGTGTTTCCACTAACACCAGTGAGCTTATTTTGTTTTTATAATGATGGGGATCTCAAAAAAGACATTAACATGTACAAACGTTAGCTTTGCGGAAAATATGTTTCTGTTTTTTTTTCTAGATATAGTGTTAATACAAGGGCAGAGGCAATGCCTGGGAGTGAGGAAGGGACTATAGTGTCCACTTTGAGTGTAACTATTAGGACTGCGGACGAAGGAGGTAGATACGGCTGTAATGCTACCAACTCGCAAGGATCTCATGCTCATCAAGCAAGACTGAATGTTTATGGTAAGTGTACTAGAGTATGGGACCATGATATTGCTTGATTACGTATCAGTAAAAAAATATATTTCCTTTTATAAAACCATAAAAATACAAACTAATATTATAAATGCGAAAGTAACTTGGCCTGGTCTATCTGTCCTTTCTACACGCCTAAATTACTGAACCGATTTCTGTAAAATTTGGTACAGACATAGTTTGGAACTTAAGAGAGGACATAGGATAGCTTTTATATCAAAAATCTGTAGAAAGTCACTATTACACGCGAACGGAATCAATACAAAAGCTAGTACGTTATAAAACCAGAAAGCGATTTGACAAAAAAAAATATGGCTTTATTCGAAATGAATAGAAACATGTAGGATTCTTTCTGCCCTATTATTGAGAATCAGCATCATCCATAGTCAAAATTTTAAGGTCTCATATAAAATAAACCTCTTTCAATCACAGGTCCTCCAAATATCAGATATTTACCAGCGCTACATGTAAAGACTGGCACAGATGTGACAATATACTGTCCGTATTCTGGATACCCCATCAAGTAAGTAACAAAAGAGTTTCATTATTTTAGCACAAAATGGCGAAATACCGAAGGTATTTTCTTACAGTCTACCTATTTTATTAAATAGATTTTTATAATAATTTATTCCAATGATATTTTTTAGAGAAGTGGTATGGAAAAGAGAAGATGGGTCCGTTGTAGAAAGTATATTAGAATCAAATGATGAACGTGGGGTACTAAGACTAAACTCGGTCCGAAGTACGGCAGCAGGAACGTACACTTGCGAAGTCAGAGCAGAAAGTGGAGAGCTTGCTCGAAGAACTGTACGGCTAGATGTCCATAGTAAGTGATTCATTTGCTTTCTAAAATATACATAAGTCTACTGACAATATTTAAACGTTAAGGTAATTCTTAACAGAGCCACCGAAAATAGCACCGTTTCAATTTCCCGAGGAACTCGAAGTGGGCGGTAGTACGCAGGCTACATGTAGCTTGATATCGGGAGATAAGCCGATACAGTTCACCTGGCACAAGGATAATTTGCCAATCCCTTCAATGCTAAAGGTATAAAACGTAGCTCTTTTCAAATCGTTTGCCTAATTTCAGTTCGCTCAAACAAGATTTTCTCTGCGATTTGGTAAAGCACGTTCAGTGATTAAATTGTTTATGATTTAAAATTTTATTCTTTAGACGTCACATAGACTGCAAAGTTGACGCAGTAGCTGGGCAACTGGCTGCTGTGCGACGTGTCGTGGGTTCGATTCTCGCACACAATCCACAAATTGTTGTTTCTTGTCTGGGTGGCTTGTCTGTACGTTTGTAAATGCCCCACGGTATAGGAGAAAATCCTAATGTGGGGCAAAGTTTAACTAAAAAAACGAAGTACAAGAATGTTTCCTATTTTAGGTGGAACAAAAGAACATGGATTTTTTCTCTCTTCTCATTATACAAGATCTGACTTCGGCTCACAGTGGCGAGTACACTTGCAGAGCTACTAATGATTTCGGTGCAGTTAGCCATAGCGCCTCACTGATTGTCAAAGGTATTTATTGTCTGAGTTTACTCTAGCGTGATTGCGACACACTTTGTCATCCTAGCTAGCATATATGCATTGCTTTAGCACTCAGGTAATTTCAAATTGGGAAGTAATATGAAATGGCTGCCTGATTATCCTAAATCACTTTAGTGTCTTGAAATAATTAATAAAGTATATATAAAAATCTGTCCTCATTCTTCTTCTTTGCGAAGAAACTTTTAGATTCACAAGAAATCTTTTGCCTTGATGATCTTCTTTCTATTTCTTTACTGGGGCCAGCGTAACATATAAAGCAGTCTCTCCGCACAGAATCGCCAACATGGGTGTGGCGAGCACAGAACACATCGGTGTCGGCGGGAGCGGCCCTGCTTCTACCATGCTCGGCTAAAGGACAACCTACACCTAGAATCTCTTGGGAATATTCTACAGGTAAGCGTTTATATTAATAACAGCAGATAGTATTAAATTTAAGTTACAAGTTTCAATGTTATGATAAGTTTTTGAATAGCAATTATCGTAATAATAAAATATAATATATCCGCAAGGCAGCTTGTGGCGAGCTGTTGGGCAGTGGCGACCCCACGGACCTGACTCCCGGGAGGTGTCTTGTTCTTCTCTCTCCGGTTAGTCCTCGTGACGAGCTGGAGTGAAAACTGATGAAGGACAAGCCCTCCTACCTCATTCTTGCCTTAATTGGCTGGCTTGAGTGGAGATTCGCAAGAGTAGGAGTTGAAGGAGACTCGGGGGAAGGATGTGTCTCAGTAAGGTGCTGGTAGGGGTCTTGACCGTACTTCCGGGATTGCTCTGATAGCCGTGGGATGCCTCTCCTTCCCCAAGCAGCTCAACGTATGTTGCCCCCGTGTCGCTACATGCTAGCGGCCGTTTCCGGGAGCCCATTAATTGAGTTTGCCAGTCACCCCCTGCCTGTTTATCCGTATGTATCAATATTTGTCAGAGGCAGGGGCCATAGTATTTCCATAGTTATCATATCCACCAGTCCATAGCAACCCATACCTATAACCCTATAAATTTTTACCACATTTCACAATAGTCCTGCATCAACCGGGGATTGTCCTTGGGTGCACTTTTATAGTGCATACAGGGATAATTGCCGGCTGATGCCCCATCACATTTAGATTAAAATTGTTCAACGGGCCTCTGCGAGTTGGCTTCGGCTCCTCGTACGCCTTCCAAAGGTCCGGGACCCTGTGGTCCCGTGAAAGGAAAGAACAAATATAATATACCTACCTAATTTATTTTAAAAAATAACGATAATGACTTACTCACGGGAAGAAATTAAGGAAAGCTCTGCTACTTTCAAGTCACAACACATTACACATCTTAATTATGAGCAGCGGGATTCTTTTTATTTAAACTAGTAGGGCTTTTCTTAGTTTATTCAGGTAAGTCGTTATTTTTGAATAGCAAAGAAGAATTAAATTTACCATGTTTATGTTATTACAAACATTTTCATTACAATTATACTTTTAAATAGTAATAAATAAACACTTTAATTTTTATAGCTCTTGTTTAAATCTAGTAAATATTTCTTTAAGCTTTCACCATGCTAGGTGAGCAAAATTATGTTCGCCGCCGCCGCGTTCTTTTTAAAACCTATTGGAAATTTTACCCCGGTTTCCTCCCGATCGGATTTAATTTTGTTTCAATTGTAGTCAGCTTCAGCAATGACGTAATTTGGTTACAGAAAAGCCTGCCGTAGCGTTATTTGTGTTTCCATTGATGTGAAAAGCTGAATTTTGTAGGAAGTAATCGGATCGTTGTGGCGGCGTAATTACACGTATTACATCGCTAGGCAATCAATAGCTACTGCAATTTGGTTACGTATTCAATGTATAATAAGTTTCAATATACAATGGTTTTGTTCATTATTAGATTGTTATACATAATGGATAAGTAGCAAATAAATAAATTATGAATATATAGCGATTTATTCCTAGACAAAAAAGTATTTAAGTGGACAATAATATTACACTAGTTTGTTTTATTAAAGCAAATTTTTGTCGAATACGAAAGAGTTTTGTCTTAGCAATCTTAATGTTAATTTTACTTTTATCGTTAAAGTTTTGAACCGAATATATTAGAAGCTTAATTCATTTTTAAGATAGTTTTCTATTTCTTTTGAAATATCATTGATTGAATAATTTATAGGTATATAAATAATGAATAAATTAAGCAACAATGAAGGGATTATAATCATTCTCAAAAAATACAATGTTATTTTCATTGTACCTAGATTTTATTGAACCTAACCAAATACAAGTGTAATGTATATCAGTAAAAAAATCAAATAATTCTTTCAAAGTCCATTTATACAATGCATCCTTCCGCATTCAACCTCCCCTAGACATCCTCGTAAGTTTATCTGTCGAAATAAACTCAAAACTTATCATAAGGCTTAAATCTACATACTAATCGGGAATGTAAACGACTGCTTTTGATTTCATTGGTTTTTAACATTAATTAATAAATTGACGCAGTTTCATTCAAAACTTCAATCGACCGAATCGAAGCAATTTTGGAATAACATATTTTAAGTTCATTGTTTTAGTGTACTTATCAAAAAAACAACTTGGTACATATTCATATGACAGAGCACAAAAAACACTAGAAGAAAAGGATTTAAGGTTCAAAATTATGCTAGCAAATTGCTGAGCAGTCCGTAGTTTTCAGCTTAAATCCTTGAATCAAAGGCTTAAGCTGAAAACCAGCGCTCGAGAGAAGAGAAGATCTGTTATTAATTCAGACGTTAGTTAAATTGTTAATTTTACTGTAGACGGTGACAACTGGCGTCATGTCCTATGGGGCCAATCAGAAGCGACTGATACTAGTGGGGGCTCGATACTGATAGACGGCACGGTGTGGCTGAGAGCTGCCAGCCCTGAGCACGAGGGCTGGTACCGCTGTACAGCGCGCGTCCAGCACTCGTTCTTACATCATTCGTTTTATTTGGATGTTAGAGGTAAGTGGTAGATCATATTCTTATATAAACATACATATATTATGTATATATTGTATTTTTCTCTATGTTCTGATTTAATGTATGCATTATGCATTGATTTAAAATTACATAATATATTACATAGTACATGTTATACTAAGATCTGACGTAACTTCCTCCCGTTTCTAAGTACTAGTCTAATGGTTTTCATTATCTAACTAGAAACGGCCTAAATAAATTATTTGTCCATACAATGTCTTCGTGCCCATAAATTATTTATATTAGTATGTTTTTTTATGTAATATGTCAGCAAACCAGCAGACGTTGGTTAGGTTATAGTTAGCAATCACGCCGCCCATGGACACCTACAACATAGAGGGGTTACGAGATTGTTGCCGACCTTTCGGGGATTAGGGATTTGGAGATTTAGGAAATGGGAGAGAGGAAGGATTGGGCCTTCGGTAACCTCACTCACACGGTGAAACACAACGCTGTAGTTGTTTTACGCCGGTTTTCTGTGAGGCCGTGGTATCACTCCGGTTGAGCCGACCCATTCGTGCCGAAGCTTGGCTCTCCCACACTTTATACTTATACAGTTATTATCATCAGCATTTATAATCTGTAATTCTTGCTCTAATGGGCATAACAATCACATATAATCGTCAATCAACATATACCACTTCACTATACGAGTATGTATATTTGCACAATAATGATAATTTTAACTAATAATACGAACCATTAAACATTCCAATTAATAGGACCTATAATCATGTTTCTATGGGTGAGGGATTCCTTCAGTTAAATTAATTTTCAATGAACATTTTACACAATTTATTGATTCTCTAGTGACCCAACCGGCCTCGCGCGGGTGCAATGCTGATACAAAATTTGTCCACTATTTAATGGATGTTGATATACTTCCTCTTTAATCACTCTACCTATTAAAAAACCTCATCAAAATTCGTTGCGTAGTTTTAAAGATTTAAGCATACATAAGGATGTAGGGACAGAGAAAGCTACTTTGTTTTATAATATGTATTAACATAACACATACATAACTGGTACACATTTCTATCGGAATACAATGCTGCAGACTAAATTTAAATTTGACATAGTTTGTATAACAGAGCATTGGATGAAGAAGTATCAGATAGAATTTATGAGTTGATAGAAAAAAAATATTAAAATTCAAAAAGATAAAATAATATACAAAAAAATCTTTTTTACTAATCTAAAATTTTTTTTATAAATAATAAGAATTATTAGTCTAATAAGTTTTCTAAAACTAGCGTTCGTCACCTATTTTTTACATTGTTTACATCCTAGACTTCCAAGACATAAAAACTCTTGTCTAGCTCGCAAAGTAGATATAATAAAAATATAGAACTGATTTCTTATGGTTTGTGTGACGTAGAACCTCCAAGGTTAAGCCGAAGCGGCAGTGGTGAGACGCGATGGGTAGTGCGAGGAACCACTGCAAGACTCTCTTGCACTGTCAGAGGGGAGCCTGAAATCCACGTACATTGGACGCATGACTCCAGACCCTTGTCTTTACAGTAAGTACAATTAATTATTTATACTCAAAACTTTAAGAGGTTTTCGGTCATCCCATAAGATGATGAAAAATTTGTAAAGTAAATAAGATCTTTTTTTATATAAAAAACGTTGCCTCACACTAGGATTTACTCCTGTGTCGTGGATGCATCTACAAACATTCAATTTCGCATACACATGACACCCAGACCCGAAACAACAATTTGTGGATCATACAAAGTGTTGTTCCGTGCGGGAATCGAACCCGCGACACGTTGCACGGCAGCCAGTTACACAGCCACCGCACCAACAGTGCAGATCGATTCTTTGTTGAGTAATTATTTTTGATCAGTGACTATCATATATGATCACATACTAAGTTTTTTTGAAAATAGCGACTATCGTTAATTAACTGAGAAAAGCTACCAGATTTAAGTCACAACGGGATTCTAATTATTCATGAGCAGCGTGTGCGGCGGTTCAACGAAAGCGATTAGTGCATTTACGAGTACTTACCTCAGTCGGGGGCTTCAAATGATACACGAAAATGCAATACTAACTCCGAACTACCATTACCGTGATTTTCGGTCTCGAGTAACCGTGGTCTTCTCATTCGAGAAGCATCCTTGCTTGCTCCGCCTATCATTTAATATGGCGAAATAAAATAAATTTAAACAAAAAAATACCGACTTCAAAAAATAAACGAAAAAGCGAAAACTTTATTTGCTTTGTACAATATAATACATTATTTTCATTTAATTAAATAGAAAATATTATTATTTAGTAAAACTATTTTATAATCTTGAAGTCGGTGCCAAGTAAATGCTACATACCAATAACAATATTAGAAAAATATATTAATCCGTACCTACTAATCATCAAACTAACAATAGGTATGTAGGTAATATCTACACTATTATTGTTTTATTTGGCACATAATTCAAGATTAAAATATTAAAATACCTAGTTATTCAATATTATTTTCTATTTAATAAAATGGTGTTCCTCGAGTAGGGTCGACTTAACATGTCACCATCAATGAAATTATGAAATAATAAAACATTTCACATTAAAACAATGAAATTATGAAATTTGAAACAATGATACAATAAAACTTTGAAACTATGAAACTTTGAAACAATGAAAGATTTCATTTAAACTATAAAAAATATGAAACAATGAAACATTGAAATTATAATGAAGCATTGAATCAATGAGATGACATATACGGATTTAATCAAATCAAATGAGGCGCTTTTGAACGTCGAGTAAAAAAAAAATATCAAAAAAGTATTTAAGTAGACAGAACTATTACATACACAAGTTTGTTTTATTAAAGCAAAACTTTGTCTAAAATGAATAAGTATTGTCTTAGCAACTTAATATTTATTAATTTTACTTTTATCGTTAACTTTATTTATTTTTATTATCTTAATTTTTAGGAAACATTTTCATTTCTTTTGGCATATCATTGATTGAATACATTAAGCAACAATTAAAGGTTGACAATCCAACGCGTTAACGAAAGCGAATTTTATTCGAGAACGAAATTAATTCAAGTGAGTAAGTCGTTATTTTCAATAAATCGAGTAAATATTATACACATTCAAATGTTTTTAAATCCTTAACTTTTTTATGGTATAGATCGGCAAACTAGGAAGCGGATTATCTGATGGTAAGCAACCATCGTCGCCCGTGGATACCCGCAACAACGGAGGAGTTACGAGTGCGTTGTCGACCTTTTGCGGATTAGGGATTTGGAGATTTAAGGATTGGGAAGGGATGGGAAGAGGGGTAGGGATCGGGCCTCGGGCAACCTCAACGGCGAAACACAACGCTGTGGTTGTTTCACGCCAGTTTTCTGTGTGGCCGTGGTGTCACTCTGGTCGATCCGAGTGATTCGTGGCGAAGCCTGGCTCTCCCACACTTAAACTGCCTCATCATCATCAGCCTATAAGTGCCCACTGCTGAGCAAAGGCCTCTTCTCACACGGAGAAGGTTAGAGCATTAATCACCACGCTTGCTCAAAGCGGGTTGGCGATTTCAAACTTATAATTATAAATTATGAGTCCAGGTTTCCTCACGATGTTTACCTTCACCGTATGTCAGTGGTGTCTAAATAATCATAGAAAGTACATATAACTCGGAAAAAGTCACATTGGTACTTGCCAAGTTTTGAACCAACACCCTCATGCATGAGAAGCGGGCGCCTTAACCTCCGGGCCACCACGACATTTAAAACTGACTGTAACTGCCTTAAAGTACTTGAAACTCCTTCAGTGTTGCGGCAGTTCATAGGCGTTGCTTATCTTTTTATTATTATACCATCAGGCGATCTGTCTGCCCTTTGCCATGCTATCCCATAGAAAAAGTAAATATATAGGATGGCATGTACCCAAAACTTTGTGATGACAAGCGTACAATTCAGCCAACATTTGCAATTATTTAACTTATAAATGTAAACGAAATGTGAAAACTTTCATTTCGGAGACTTGACGATTTAATTTCCTGTGTCGATGTAAAAGTCTGATAACGCGTCCTGATCAATTTTACGTCAGTTACGGTATCTGTGAGGCTAAATATTTTTTTAATAAAATAAACTTTTTTAGTTAATTAACTTAAATATATTCAATTACTAGCTTTTTCTCGTAGCGTCGCTCTACTTCTTGACCATTATTTTTCATAAGAATAACAAAAAAAAAAGGACGACGAATCAGCGACATCGGTTCATTTGTTCTCCAGATGAGGGCTTAGCAACATCTATTGATTAATTTTTATATTATAGGAGATATCTTTTATTCTTGTTTATGTTGTTCTTTATTTAAAGTGAGACTATGCTGAGAAATAAATTAATTAGTCTGGTAGTCTAAAATGTTTCATTTACAGGTCGCAGCTAAATGTTTGAATTGCTATAGCCATCTAACCAACGGCCTAAAAGTCGTTTGATTGAATAGCAAAATTTCTCATTTTTCTCATTTTCTCATGAAACGTAGGTGAACGAATCGCCATCACAAAACAAACAGCTACTTAAACTATGCTGCGATCAAGATTGAACGGCTTTTTTACTAATTAACGTCTTTTTTAAGTAGTTGGCTGCGAAATACACATCACTAGACATTCACTGGTTTACACATGATCAGGGACCGATAATGGTACCTACCTACATATATTTCTTTTCAATGGTTAGATGCATGTTATTAAATCAGCCCTAAGTCAAATACTTTTCGTAACAGTGGCTCCGGTGGTGTGGAAAATAGAGAGACTAGTGGTGGTGCAATGACGTCAGAGGTGACAATACCTCACGCGGGACCTGAACACGCCGGAGAGTATCGATGTTTAGCGCGCAACCTCTACGGAAGCGACGAACTAGTGTACCGGCTGTTTGTCAAAGGTAAGTTCTTTATTACGTAATTTTGTAGAAGTTAGTCTATTTGCTGGTCCTTTTATTAACTGTTTGGTCCTATACTGCTCTGTTTAGTTTTTAAAACAGACAACTCTAGGTTTGTATTATATATATTTAATAAAAGGAGGCGTTATAGTCTGCCCCGCATAACAAAAGTTTGAAATGTTCTATTGTCGATATTCCCGGATCGATACGACTGTCAAACATTCAAGGAACAAACGTGCGTAATCCTTGAAGGCTGGCAGCGCGCCCTTAACTCCTCTGGTGATGCGGGTATCCGTGGGCGAAATAATTAAACATATATCGTCAGATGCTTTTTTAAAATTAAATTTTAAATAAATTCATTGAAATGAAAAGTAAAATATTATATTTTTGACTTGGAAAACTACACAATTAAACAAGTTTATATGCAGAAGTTATCGTACTTACAAGAGTGTCTTCACTGTTTCTTTATAAGATTTTGTATCAACGATTATAATAAATACAAACATTACAACCTACATTTGTCTCCATAGAAAACCTTTCTACAATAATGTAGTACAAATTCAAGCAAAGCCAGCTAAAGCCGTTAAGTGCTAAAAATACGAAAGAAGAAACTTTTCTAGCTAATTCTGATTCCTGAAGAGTGTTTTAGTGCACATTTGTTCAGGTTTGCGAGGATTTGCTGAAATACGACCGAACGAATTTATACTCGAACGATAGTTAAATGCATGGATAAATGTTACAATTGTTAATGTTATTATTGTTTGTGTCATATTAGTTTCTCTGTTATATAAAAGTTTTCAACCCGATGGTAAGTAATCTACGACCCAATAAATACTTCATATTAAAATATCTATGGATACAAATGGTACTAATAAATATCATCTACTAGGTATATTATGTATATTTATATCATAAATATTTTTAATTATCATAAATAATAAGTAAAAAAATATTTTCTTTCACATTTTTATTACTTTAAATTACTCATTGAGCTTATTTTTTGATTTGTTACATATTCAAGTATATTTTATAAAAAACCGTTTTTTCAATAACTTATGTAGTGTTATAAAAGCTTGTAAATAATTGTCTGCTCACTTTTGTACATAAATAAAAATATGAATATGGGTAGCTTCGAAATTCTCAGAATTCATGCTTTTTCATATATGTATACATACGTGGTTTTATATGGAACGGCAGAGATAAAAATCATTTTGCTGTGAAACCTTTTTGCGGAATATTTTGCTGCAACGAAATAAAATGTACCTTAAAAATACAAAAGCAAAATAAATGTACATATATATTTCTTGATTTTCATTAAAACTTCATTTTATTAATTTTAATATCCGGTTTTATTTCTGTGAAAACCTTTGTTGTGTTTTCGGAAATAACAACTGTAAAATCTTTATTTCCTCTTATTTTACGTTTGTTATTGCTATTTTACATTTATATCCTCGACAGATATTTGCTTTATGCACATATGTAAATAATTAAACTGTTTCTTTTTTAATTCTGGGTAGGGAAATGGCCCAGATAAACATGGCAATATTATTATTTCAATCCTACATGTTTAAGGATATTTGAATGTATTTTATTTAGTAGCAAACAGAGGTTACTGGTTTATGCCGTTCATTACCGATTAATATTGAGAATTGAATAGGATAGTACAGTACAAATTGTCCAGTCTAGTACAATCACTACGACTCAGTCTAGTACGCTCCTAAGTTAGACCAAAATTAAAAACGTTACAACACTTGGCCTCGTAGGCACAACTGCTGCTTAATGATTGTTATCTTTACAGGCTTCGGCTTCCATTCCCTCGACTATTAAACATGTAAACAACATTAAGTTAAACAATAGTACCTCATGTACCAGTCGTTTCCACTGAGCTGTTGTTCTGTATCGTCCAGTGGTCGTCATGTACTCGCGTCGAGGGCCATAAAGCGTAATGTGTGCCCGCGATAATACTGAATACGGGGCCCCAATGTATAAATATGTGCTACCGAAAATTCATACAGAAGTTTCACTTCTTTCATACTTTATATTCAAAGAAAATAAAACAAAATTAAGTTTAATGTTATGAGATAGATGTATTATTATAAGTACCACAGCAAAATAAGGTACATTTAAAAGCTATTTGTTATATTTTAAAGGGGTTAATTCTGATCACGTTTAATCAGTGAGCCAAGAGTTAACTGCACGGTTGGCGCGGTGGCTGGGCAACTGCCGAGCAAAGTGTCGCGGGTTCGATTCCCGCACGGAACAACTCTTTGTGGGATCCACAAATTGTTGTTCCGGGTCTTAGTGTGATGTGTATATGAAATAGTATGTTTGTAAACGCAACCATAACACATGAGAAAGACATAGTGTAGGGGAAAAGTTTAAAAAAAAGAGTGAATGTCAGACTTTCTTATTAAAAACAACCCGGTTCTAACTCTTGTTCTGACCTGAGGGTCCCGTATGAGGTGGTCTAATAGCGCTCTATGCTCGGGTTTGGATCTGTTCGAGTGCGAGTGGCGAGCTACCCACACTCGCCTTTGGCAGACCCGCGCTTACGGTGCACATACATAGATAGTCTCGCGATCCGGGTCAGTCAAAGTATCTCATCCCGCACTGGCGTGAGAACGATGTCCGAGGACACACAGCAATTCTTATTGTCAACAATGACATTTTTATATTGTTTGTGTGACAAGCCACTAATTATACATTACTTAGTCAAAGAGCGTGGTCCTTCTGTTCTTTTTACCTACTTTTAACCTTTTACCCTTACAAACGTGTAATTTATGACACGTGATGTTTCGGTTATGGTTATATATGGTGTAAATAAAATATACCAAGTTTTAAATTTTCGTTTCCCGAGCGAACAGATTGTGTAAACTTTATGTATTATGATCTAGATAGGCAGTTGTAATTACGGTCGCAAATAGGATGGTGTACCAACAACAACTTTTAGGTTATTAAAGTGATCAATTACTTGCAACCGAAGCGTAAATCTGACGGTAAAAGTTCTCTTAAGAAACTGGTTTTAATTTTTTTTAAACGTATGATCGCTCATTCCCACTCACAAATCGTAATGAGGTTTAAACTTTGTTAGTTTTGATTAACGAATAGAATCGCAGTGAAACCAAACCTACAGATAAACTATGTAAACTTAATTGCTCATTTTTTCATCCGATGCATGCATTATTTTACAGTATAATTTGATATTTTATCACAAAATACCTGAAAATACAATTCTATCATACAGAACGCCCCAGTGTGCCTGAAGAAGTTCGGGTTTCTGAGGTGTGGTCCCGAAAAGCGCGTGTGACGTGGCGTGTCGCACGAGGCGCACTCGTGTCGCACTACTCGCTGCAATATCGCGCGTTGACGCGCGACTTATCGCACGCGCCGCTCGATGCACCGATGCCAGCTCTCCTTGACAACTGGGATACACAGGATGTTCTCAATATTACATTGGCGAATTCTGATCTGCTGCATGTTGCGTAAGTATTGTTCGTAAGTAAACCACATAAAATATCAAGTGTCCATTTTTACCGTGACCGTTGAAATGCAACCTTCAACATTCCTTTTTAATTTAAAAGCTCTTCTAATAAACGAATATTCTATGAGTTATATTTTGATCGTCCATTAATACAATCGCTTTCCGTTTTAATTGTTTCCCTACTTCAAATAATATAAATTGTTGTTTTATAAATTCTAATAACAATTTACGCTTCTAGAATATTGGTTTAATCTTAACAGCTTTGTGAGAGGAGCTGTGATAAAAATAGCCAGTGTTTGCGGCGTAACGATTGCTTTGGATTTAAAGTTTAATAGCTTTTAGACCATCGGGGAGCACTGAAATGTTATAACCCTTTGTACAACTTGGGCTCTCAGGAAAAATCAAGCCCAGTTAATTAATGTTTTTGTAAATTTTTTAAAAGTTAATTTTCCCCTTTTTAATACGATGTTGATGTTAGGTTAATTACGATGATATTATAATTTACTTTCGGTACTAAAAGTAGAATAAGTCAAACATTGGTTTTACGAATGTAAATAAAATTTTATAAAGCTAAAATTTTATTAAACTTACCTAAAGCGGTAACGGTTTTTAATTAAACCAATTAAAAACGAAACGTACAAGCGTGAAGTAGACGAATTCTTTGTTCCGGAGATAGAAAAAAAGATTAATCATTATTTTAATGAATCCCTATTTATTGCCGCTCATTATAAATGTAGGTAGGTATGTTTAGTTTGCGTGTAGTCTTTACAAAATTTTCTTATTTAAAGCCCAAACAGACTAGCGCGGCTATTTATTTTTCGAAATTGATATCGAAAAGTTGAAAACTTATCAAAGAAATGAGTTAGGATTATTTTTTATTTCTCTGTTACCATGTCTGTTCGTCTTTTCGTATTATTTTAGAGGAGTTATTAATTGTACCAATAGAGACGACATTTGCCTTAGTTTTCCTAGAATGGTGCGCATAACTATTGCTTTATTATATACTTATCAAATCTCTAGGTAAAAGAAGCTAAATCTTTAGCCTCATATCAAAATAATAGCTTATGGGCATTAGTTTCAAATATATCCTCTCTTTACATGTTTACCGACAAAACAGTTTGATGAAAAATTAATTATTTAATAGAACTTATACTAAGTACTTATACAAACTGCTTTTCATTTATATTCTGGTATAAGTGATCCAAGACTTTCCTTTGACGTTCTATCTACACAAAAAAAATCTAAACCTTTATATTTCTGTTTGAATTTAGAAGTAGGTATAACTACACAAAACAAAACACGCGACCTTGAAAAAAAAAAACGACCTTTAAACCCGCCATCCTGAGTCCATAAGATCATTGTGACTGTAGGTCTGAAGGGCCGGGACGTGCAGGCGCGTCGGTAGCGGGTTTGTCTCCCGACACGCGCTACGCCATGCGGATGGCTGCCTTCAACGATGTCGGCGCCTCGCCATATACTGCTCCGTTACACTTCACGACAAGGGAGGAAGGTGAGTAATTACACTTTCTTGAACACTTTTATATATTTAATATAATATATACATATATGTTTTAATAGGTTAAATATAATATATATGTATAAATCAACGCCACTTTTCGTTGTAAGTAATGTTATAAATCAACAATGCCTTTACCAATTTTGCTAATTTTGGTCATTAATTATTGGTGGAACTTCAGAAAAGTTTCGTACGTAGAGAAAATAAAAAAAAAAATTTGAAAAAATTTAAAATCGACATCCACGTGGTCGGATTCGCGGGCGACCGCTAGTTATTTGAATAAATATGGTCGGTACTTGAAAAACAAGATCTCCTCTTATAGATCAGAATGTATATTAAGTCATACATAGGTATAATTATGTGCTAGGTACTAATCTTTGACGGTACCTACGAGATAAAAAAATAATATGTGTTAATTCAACCTAAGCAGTTAATATTTACTTAAGTATTATGATTTTCTCCGTAAATGTAAGGAGTAATATACATATATACATATATCATTAATACATTACTGAAAGTCTGTTCGAAATGAGAAGCAGTATGAAGCTTCCTGCCCATTAAAAAACAGTGCTGTGCAATTTCCGTAGGAAACTTCGCAAATGCGTGTGAATGTATGAGAATGTCCTTCTGCTTTGTTCACAGGATAAAAACGTATATAGCTCAGAGTATTTTCGACTTTATTTCGAGTCATACAGAGTTGAATGTTCATTGAATGCTTGTATTGAATGTGGTGAAGTTTTTTTTCGGTGTCACTTCTGACAGCTTTTTTTTTGCTAGCACCGGGTGGAGCTCCTCGCGACATTACCGTGCGGGCACTTAGGGCGCGCGAACTTCACATTACTTGGCAGGTAGGTATCATTCAAACTTTCTTATGTATTTATACAGCATACACTTAGTGTGGGAGTAGGCTGATGGCATTGGTAATTTATCAGATATTCTTCGTATTAAATCGGTCCTTAGGAGACATTTTATAAAGTATTTGTATGTAGGTGTAGCGTTCTTGTTGCTAAATAAGTCTTGTTCTACGAAGATTCTGGAGTGATTATGTTTTTTATTAATTTAGAAGAGCCATTTATGTAAACCTAGAAACACAAAGGGTTTCCAAAACTGCTTAACTGGGTCTTTCATAAACCTTTCTCTTTTAGCCACCACCAAGAGAAACATGGCACGGTACCCTGCTTGGGTATACCATTCGATGGTGGGAAGTGTCAGAAGAGGGTAAGGGCACATTGAGCGACAGTCCAGGGTCTGAGTCGGGAGCCAGCGCTGATGCTACCAGCACCACGCTGCGAGGGTTGAAGGCTGCTACAAGATATGGAATCACCGTGAGGGCATACAACGCGGCTGGTACGGGACCATTGTCTCCACCACATTATCGACACACTTTGGAGTCACGTGAGTGAAATTCTATACTTTCCTAACTTATATATTCTTATTTTTGTCATAGGTCGGCAAACGAGCAAAAGGCTTACCTGATGGTAAGCAATCAGCGTCGCCCATGGACACCCGCAACGACGAAGGAGTTACGAGTGCGTTGTCGACCTTTTGGGGATTAGGGATTTGGAGATTTTGGGAAAGGGAACGGATAGGGGTAGGGGAAGATTGGGCCTCCGGTAACCTCAATCACACGGTTCAAAAATGTTAGCAGCACTTTTACACGTCAATTTTCAAAAGCTAACTAGACGAGGATCGCAATATTTAACTAAGACTATGAAGAAATAACGAAACAAACGCAGAGGTCGTAATCTCTTTTTAAGTCATTATTAATATATTTACTTTAAGAAACGTTTCCCAATTCTTTGGGTTTGCATCTGTGTCATGGGATCAAACATAGACTAACATAGAAAATCATGAGCTAGAACCACCACAACAACAACAACAATAATCAGTGAATCACACAAATCATTCTGTGTTATAAACACGAAGGAATATTTCAATTTAATAAGTAGTAGCATAAAGAGAACTATAGGAAAAAATTGTGATTGCTACTTTAAAACTGCTATGCATACAATAATTGGTCATTAAATAACTTCCATAGCAAGTCGATCAAAATAATTCTAAACGGTAACACTAACGAAAATTGCTCACTAAAAGGAATCCGACCGCAAGCTTCATGAAAATTATTCTTGCTCCCGATAATCGCCTTCGAAAGCTGTATAAAATGTTCCAAGTTGGAAACTGAAAGAGATCGATTTGTTTAATGTTCGAAACAGTCAGCCGCAGAAGAGTATCGAAGTTGAAACTTGGACAAGGCAAGTTTTGTCGTAGTAGTAAATAACTGAGCGTCGCTATCGACGTGAAGCGACGATCGTAAATTTTCCCATCAAAATGCAAAATGGCTTAATTGGACTGTGGCCTTCTCGATCTAGGTCAAACGATTCAGTACAAATTGATGGCACTTTTGTATTCTGCGTTTGTTTCATTTTTATTTCTTCATGAAAAATTGACTTACAGCTCTTTTTACCGTTGGTAACTTCTTTGAGGCGAAAATAATGAATGCTCTTTCAATTATTTTATTCTTGTGTTCATTTTTGTCTTTTGACTTGGAAAATATCGTGTTTAATTTTAGTATTTTGCTTAGGGATGATTTTTCAATAGACAGATAAATGTTATCTGAGGAATAAAATTGTTGTTGTCACCGTCTTATACACCCATTCTGACGCGACAGCATAACTTTTATTTAACCATTGGAAAATTAGCCCTTAAACGTGTTTTCTTGGATCACATGTGCCATAAATTTGGCTAATCGGTATAACTGCGATAATTATCCCTTAATTTCTTGAAACATTTATGTATGATCTTTTCTTTTCAAAATTAAACGTTGCCAACTTGAAAAGGCTTAATTAATGCTCTTAATAAGTCACATGTGCGCTCAACAACATTTCCAGTAATTAATCTTAGAAGATTGTTAAGGAATTGCTTCATAAGCGTTCGGAAGACATGGAAAAGCTGTTTGGATATTAACTCTGTAGGAAATTAATAGAAATAATATTTTAAAGATAAATTATTGCGCCTTTGAAAATGTTATCCTTGAAAAATCTTATTAGGCTAAGGAACTCGAACCATTAACATTTGTGAAACAAAAAGTATTTATTCTTGGTAAAGTTAAATCGTTACAACGTACAAAGGGAAAATAAACCGTTCGGAAAAATACATGGTATGTCCCTCTGCGAGTTGTAAGAGTACCTACTAGTAAAGCGATCGTCTGAGCGAAGTGTCACTTGCTACTTTCCGACACTCGCGAGAGTTTTAAAAAGAGGTCAGGAACAAACACAGGTTGGGTTTAAAAAAAAAAATGGTTGGTTTTTCTATGTTCGATAACCTGATGGTAAGCAATCAGCCCCATGGACACCCGCAACAACGGGAGAATTACGAGTGTGTTATCAACCTTTTGAGATTAGGGTTTTAGGGATTTAGGGACTGTGGCGAAATTGGGGGAGGGTAAGGATTAAGCCTCCTTTATCGGGTACTTGAATCAAGCTGGTGAAAGAGGTGCTATATTCTTGTAAAAAAGTCATCTAAAGATTCCTTTATTGATATAAAAATATAAATATTATTATGTTAATAATAATGCTATACTTATCGAGTTATAAAACCAGAGAACAAAAAAATAAAATTAAAACTGAAAACAAAGTACTTTTCATATAGCACCAACTGGCAGTCCAGAAGGAGTTACCTGCATATCGAGTGGATCCACGTCACTGCGAGTGTCATGGCGGCCGCCGGGCGTCGACAACAGAGGCGGACTCATAACTCACTATACTTTACAATACACGCGACGGGACGCCGATCCAATGCTACCCACACAAGACGCGTATCTTAGGATACAGGTAAGTCTGATATTTTTCTTAGTCTATGTTCTCTTCTTGTATTTCAACATAAATGTGGTATAGATTTTTATTTTCAACTAGCTCCTGGCCCCGCTTTGACGGTGCAATGCTGATACTAAATTTCCTTTCTATATAATGGATGTTATTACACATATAAACTTCCTCTTCAATCACTCTATCTATTAAAATAATTGCATCAAAATTGTACCGTTGCCTAGTTTTAATTTAAAAAAAAAAAAAAAACTTTGCCCCACATTAGGATTTTCTCCTGTGTCGTGGGTGCGGTTACAAACATACAATTTCACATACACATGACACCCAGACCCGGAACAACAATTTGTGGATCACACAAACAGTTGTTCCTTTTTTTATTATGCAGTGATAATGAAGAAGAGTTTAGTAGAAATTAAAACCTTTAACAAAAGGCCTCTATTAAGTAAATATGGATGGATGGTCTTCCCTGTTTTTGTAAATACTGTATTTTTTTTTTATATGTAATAGGTCGGCAAACGAGCAGACGGATTACCTGATGTTAAGCAATCAGCGCCGCCCATAGACACTCGCAACGGAGGAGTTACGAGTGCGTTGCCGACCTTTAAGAAATTAGGGATTTGGAGATTTAGGGATTGAGGAGGGATTGGGGAAGGGGAAGGATTGGGCCTCCGGTAACCTCACTCACACGGCGAAACACAACGCGGTGGTTATTTCACGCCGGTTTTCTGCGAGGCCGTGGTATCACTCCGGTCGAGCCGACCCATTCGTGCCGAAGCATGGCTCTCCCACACTGTATTTAATTACTACATTTAATTATAAAGCAATTAAAATTATATTAATAAACCGTCTATTCTAGGTGTTTTATTTCACTGTTCTTATTTAGATTTTTTCTTATGGATAAAAATATTGTAATTGTCTTCCAAAAATGGTTTCGAATTGGCCATTTGACTTTCGAAGAATGTTTAAAAAATATATCAGTCTTCGAAGATAGCGGTTACTTTTTTCACAAAATTTCCATCCGATATAGCCAACAAGTATCAAATCTATAAGTATTCAAAATACATTTCCTGATATTGTTTGATATTCTTTTACTATGAAAGGGTGAAGAATCAACAGTTTCAAGATTGACGCCGTACGCTGAATACGAAATCCGAGTGAGAGCACACAATGCTGCAGGGGATGGCCCTCTGTCCGCCCCACAAGTATGTAGGACTGATGAAGATGGTAAGTAAACAATTTGCATATATTCTTTAATATGGATTATTCTTGATTTATATGAATAAGATATATATATATATTGAGACATATGTAAATATGTATAACGTTCGAAATCTAATTTTCTGTAGTCTTCAAACATGTAGACGAAGTTAAAAATAAGCTTTCTTCGACATCTTAGTGTTTTTTTTTTATTAAATTCTACGAATGATAAACACAGTTGTTCATGTACTCGAAAAATACAGTGTTCTTCACAGGCTTTTCCAAATTTTTTTTTAGACGGTCTATTGATGCTGATGAGGCAAAACCACTCACGAGTGTGTGCTACTTCAAGATCTTTAAGTGATCTTAAGCTTAGAGCTGGAATTTTTGATTGACATCTACTTTTGTATTATTTATTAATAATCGTACAGCACTTTACTAGGAAAGGCTTTTAGAAACGTAAAAAAGTGAATTGCAGATTTTTGGCTGCTATCAACGGTTAAAGATAACTAGTACCTACTATTTTACATTGATAAAATTATCAGCTTTGTAAGTGGTGTTGTATTGTTTCGAACAGTGCCCAGTGCACCTGGAGGCCTGAAATTGATAGCTCTGGGTGAACGGTCACTGAGGGCCTCCTGGCTGCCTCCGCCTGAACCCAACGGTAAACTCACTCATTACACGCTGTACATCAAGGACTTATCAGGGTAAGTTATGTACTTCTTTGTTATCAAAAACCTTATGGAATTGTTAAATCTTTTTCAGTACGGAGCTTTCGTCAATTCATTATACTGGGTGAACCTTAAAAAAGGTTTTTTAATGTTAAAATAGGACGGTTAACGAGCAGACAGATTACCTGATGGTAAGCAATCAGTGCCGCCCATGGACACTCGCAACAACAGGGGAGTTTTAAGTGTGATGCCGATCTTTTGGGGGTTAAGGAATTGGGGGAGGGATAGGGTTGGTCCTCCGCTAACCTCACTCACACGTCGAAACGCAACGCTGTGATTGCTTCGCGCTGGTTTTCTGTGAGGCCGTCGTATCACTCCGGTAGAGCCAACAGAGACTAAAGGTCAATACAGTTATATTGATGTATTTTCTACGTCGTTAGCGATTTTATAAATAGTCAGTGTAAACACAAAGTTCTGTTTTAGTAGTTACAAAACTATTTGTTCTATGAATTGTCTTATTTGATTGGGATGTAGGTCAATTTATTGATATATTGGGTAGTTTACTTAGACAAAAATATATTGTAACGACGTTTTAATATAATGAAATGTTGACAAACTGTACATATTTTTATAGATTTTTTCGCATTTCTCTAGCAAATTTCATAATTTGCAAATCCATAAAAAACATAGAAGGGTTCCTGTTTTGTACATGTTGTATTATATACTAGCGCTCTACCCCGGCTTCGCATGGGAGCAATGCTGATGCTGAATTTCTCCAATATTTCATAGAATAGAACCTTCCTGTTCAACCACTCCATCTATAAAAATAACGCTTCAAAATCCATTGCATAGTTTTAAAATTTAAACAAACATAGGGCACAGAAAGCGACTTTGTTTTACAAAATTTATTTGTATAAAACAAAAGACGTGCAACATAATATACATTAGGAATAAATTCTGATTTGTCGGTAAATACATACGTTAATAATTAATTTTCACGTAAATACTAATGAAATAAACATAATGTTTCATGTGAATTAGTGCATTAGACGACTGTCATTAATTATTATGCCAAAATTATAATAACAAACAAAATAATCGGAAACAGCCATTCAAATTATAGATATTAATTTCTCGTTGCGAACTGACGTTTAGTTCCGATAATTTTGTACTCTATTCTGACCACGTAATTTTTTGATTTATTTAAATGGTTTTTTCTGGTGCGGTTGAAGACAACCCTAAGTTACCATTACCTAGATTTCCTTTATTTGTAAATTGCGTTATATAATCTCACTAGCAACGCCAATGAATGATATTATAATAGGTCTTTACCTATGAAATTGCCGTTCTGCAGTACTGGCCATTTCAAATCAAAATAGTTTTTGTTAGGCTAAGGCTAATTTATTTTGTTTTAAAACGTGGGATCCTTTTCCCATTTGTTTATTGATTAGTGTTACATTTTCATCGCATTTCAAATCAAAAAAAACGTTTAAATTTTTTCATGCAATACGGCAATTTTATAGTTTAAGACATATTATAATATATCCAATCTAATATTATAAATGGAAAAGTAACTTTATCTGTCTGTCTTTTCTTCACGCCTAAACTACTGAACCTATTTGTGTGAAATTTGGTACATCTAGAACTCGAGAAAGGACATAGGGTAGTTTTTACACCAAAAATCTGCAGGAAGTCACTATTCCACGCCAATAAAGTCCTCTAGTCTTATGAACCTCCTCCCTGTTGAATCTCTAATAAAACTCCCTCTAAAATCATTAGAAATTTAAGCCTACATAGGGATATAAGGACAGAGAAAGCGACTTTGTTTTATATTATGTACTTAATGATTAAAAAACAATATAATCAGCTTGGGTATAGACTTGGGGATAGATACATACATATAGTTGCTATTGTTATTTATATAGCCTTCCACAACCTACTCCAATTGATACGCTATTGTAGCTGGGTCCATTGTCAGATTTATAAGGCTTCTTCCGTTATCCGTACTATCGTAGTAGATATTCGTATGACAAGCGAGATCAACGGCTTTAATACTACTTCAAGCGGATAGGACAATTTGATTCAAAGTAAATAACAATAGTGTTCAGAGTAGAGATCTGTATACTATAATCCCATCAAAGCAAACAAAGATTCATTCAATATCTTCTTTGTTCTTTGCATAGCTAAACGGCATATTGTGTTCCAAGAATTACTTGGTTGACCCGAGTAATTCTTAGAACACAACAACTAGTACTTCTCATTCAAGTCGACCCACTTAATTTGACCAGTTCTCAGAAATACGTTCACTGGATACGATAGTTCTAAAATTATTGTTATATGTATACGATAGAGTTTGAGAGCGATATTCCTACGTGATATGAGATTTCAATATTCTCAGTAATTGCATTGAGTGTAGTAGGTATATAAATATTATTATCAATCATAGTCACTTCACAAACACTTGTCAGATTTGGTAACAGAGTTACTATTTTGTATACTTGTGTGGGAGTGTCATGCTTCTACACGTATAGGTCGGCTGCACCAGAGCGATACTTCACAGAAAACCTGCGTGAAACAACCACAGCGTTGCGTTTCACCGTGTGAATTAGCATACTGGAGGTCCAATCTTTCCCCTCGACCATCCTCCCCAATCCCTAAATCTCTAGAACTGTAATCCTCAAAAGGTCGGCAATGCACTCGTAACTCATCCGTTGTAGTAGCTACCATGAGTAGCGCTGATTGCTTACCATCAGGTTATCCCTATCGGCTCGTTGGCCATCCCATCGCATATCGTTTGATTTGAGAAAACATGTAGGTTGGTTTTCGTAACTATACTAAAACAGATAGTTATAAACAGAATTAATTTCCTACAAATACCTATTAACAGTAAGTAGGTACTAGAAATCTCAACGCAATTTGATAACGGCATTGACCGGTCACAAATCAGAGTAGTTGAATGGTTCAACGTAGTGATAGTACGGGAACGTAGCGTTAATGAGATTACACGGCAGGACGACCTCTCTGAGATGAGTGACAAAGCGAAAGGGATATTGCAGCGAGCTAGGTAAACTGAGGACAGGAACGTCCGTGTTGTCCCTGGTATATCAATCGAATAAGGTTTATAAGAGATGAGAAATATCTTTGTTGAACTAGTACCCTTTTTCTTAAAAAAGTTTTTTAATCTGTGTATATATAAATGAATGCCACTTTTCGTTGTAATGCTATAACTCAACGATGCCTTTACCGATTTAGCTAATTTTCAATTATTCGTAATGGTCCAGAGGAGGTTAGTACGTAGAGAAAATAAATAAAAAATCTAGAAACAGTGTAAAATCGACATCTAAGCGGGCGGAGCCGCAGGCGACCGCTAGAAAAGTATATTGCTACGAATTTTTAGGCAAAGGCAAAATTTTTTGTCGTCGAATTAACCAAAAATGCTTGCATTGTGTATAAAAACTTTAGTAGCTCAAGAAGGGCAGATTGTTTCAAGTAAAGATTCTACTAAAAGATATTCTGATAAGCCATTGCTTCGTCGTTGCGATGTCGTTATCAAAACTCACTAGGGGTAAGCAAGTAGAAGAAAAGGTCAATCATCAATCATTCTTAAAAATTGGTTTCAAAGAAACGCATATTCCACAAAATCATCCCAATTACATACCAGCGAGCGATTACAAAATCAATTATGGACTAAAACTTCTGTAAGTAACAGACACCCTACCTGGCGAAGGAATAAGTAAAGTTGTTCAGCAATCAAAGTTAAATACAGCTTCAATTCAACCATGTCCTAACCACTTCGCAAAGTTTATTTAGCAATAGTTTTGATACTTTAGTTCAGTCGAAGGACATAATAGTTTACCTACCTATCATCCTTCACCTCGCTCCTTTGTCAGATTTAATCCTTACGTAGCATCTAAAGGATTTTGCATAACAGTATCAAATATCTGCATAGGTTATTGCAAGCATATTGGTTTATAAAGGGTAGGTACTGGCAGCTGAGAAATTCTACGACGATAATAACATTTCATGTTTGTTCAAGTGTACGGGGCGATATCTCGTGTATTATGGTTGGATTAACTGTGAATTTAAGGCTGTTTTGTATGTTTTTTTTCTTTAAGTAGATAAGAAATATAATGCAAATGGTATGTTCACTTAGCATACCATTCTATATGTTTCGCAATCAAGCTTGTGTGTTTTGGTTGAATAAACTGTGATTAAGGGCTGTAGTATACATATATTTTGTTGTGTTTATTTCTATAAATAGGTTACAAATTTAATGGTATGCTCTTAGCTTTGGGTTCATTTCAATATTTATGAAATCGCAGAAGAGTTAAAATATTTTTAGACCAATTTGCACTGATTGTGATATCAAAAGTAAAAATGTTTGAAAGCAAAATCATTACTAACATAAGCCGTTATAAATGGATCAATTTTGATATGATTCTTAAAAGCAACTTACTTAAAACATCCTCATAGGTCACAAGAACCCAACGTGACCCGCGTGAACGCGTGCATGGAAGTTGAGGGAACAACTACCGAGTGTATGCGTACAATGCGTGGTCTCCGTGCAGGGCGTACTTATGAAGCGTGGGTCCGTGCCGCCACTGCCGCTGGGGAAGGCCCGCCGTCACCTGCCGTGGCTTGCCAGACCAGTTCTTTGGGTAAGCGTCTTATATTCTAAGGCTCCTATATAATACATTTATTGAACTACTAGACTTTATCAATAATGTTAAAGAGATAAATAAAATAGAAATCTTACACCGTAAAAAAAATAATTGTCTTATCTTTGTGACCATTGAACAATTTCTGATGCGAATTAATCTTCAAAATACTTAACATTAACACTTTTTTGAAACGACCTCAAGTTGTTTATTCGTGTTAGGTGAACAAACCATACACGAGGGTTTTCCTCACGCGGTAAAGTGAGAAGATTTGATGTCAAAGATGAAGCTAACTACAAAAGTGAAACAGTTTGAATGATATTTTTTGATTTGTATAGCACCAGGTCGAATTTCGTCATTCGGTGGCGTGGCCTTGGGTGCCGCGGGCGGGTCTTTGTCTCTTCGATGTGTGGTGGGTGGTGCACCGCCTCCAGCCAAACGATGGCTACGAGCTGGTGCACCACTACATCCACGACCGCCCTTCCATCTCGATGGAGACGCACTCCTTATACGAGGTAAAGACTCTTTAGAATACATTTTTTTAATCGACTACAGAATATCAAATCCTCAAAAAACCTTCATCCTTTTCCTCTTGCTCAGGCTTAGAGTTGTCTCACGCCGACAATTACACATGTGTGGCTGAGAATCCACATGGATCCGACTCGGCTACATGGAGAGTGATAGTACTCAGACCACCAGCACCGCCAGGGCTAGCCTTACTCGAAGCACGGTCCAGAGAGTTGGAGCTCGAACTTCGACCAGCGCCGAGAGCACCGGGACATGCTATACCTAAAACTTACAGTTTACATTGGAGGTTAGCAACACCAGAGGTAAGTTAATATCTAATATGAATTCACACTCATTATTGTAGGATAACATCTTATTTTTCTAAGAAGCAGTGGGTGGTACAACTAGTATGGAATCAGCCCATAATAAATGAGCTTAATGCTATTAGCCAAGCACAGTTCTAAATCGTCAATTAATAAGTCTGTCTGTTAAACAGTAGTCAGTCGTAATTTTCTATAATCGAATATCTTAATATTTTTCGTAGAATTTTGCTATTGCCATAACAAGACAAAACATAGTGCCCAAAGCATATCAAACCATTTTGCAACACATCTAGTTAAAATAATATAAAGTTAGCCATTTTTATTTTGAGATCCCTTGAACCGTGCCCTATCTATCACTCACATTTCAAATCACTTTTAGGGCGAATGGCGGATTCAATTAGCCACTCCTGGCCCAGTGACGTTATCTGGACTTCGTTGTGGTTCCGCGTACAGAGCTTATGGTTCCGCTGGGGGTGCTCCAGGATCAGAATTGGCTGTTAGGACTTCTGGTGGACCACCAACTGCTCCTCCAGATGCAAGGTGGATAAGAGCTAATGCCACCCATGCGAGGTTTGATACCAGTGCGTGGGGTGATGGTGGATGTGGTCCTGTAGCTTTAAAGCTGGAATGGGCAGGATCTGGAGTAGCGGGTGCAAGAGATGTGCCTGTTGGAGGGGAAGTTATATTAGGAGGTATGCCTACCATATGTTTTTCGATTTTTTTGTGACTTCAAGGACACAAGGAAATATCATTGTCAACTATATTATTACGAAAGAAGATTATTAATAGTAACTAGTTAACGAAACTTCTGTTCGTTATAACTTTGTCTACTCACAAGTTGTAGAGATCTGTAAATAAACATACATTGAGTTCCGTTTAATTTGTGCGATGTCATACGATTGATATTCTAAGAAACACAATCTATGAATATGTACGTAAGCGTACGATTCCGAAAAAGTTGTATTTCTAATATGTTTATAAAGATTTACTTAAATATAATTTGTTGGCTTTGTAAATGCAATAAAGCAACCCATTAAATGGAATTTTTGAAGACTTTTCCTATATGAGGTAATTTTTTTTTGACTTTTGTATCACATAAATAACTTTAAATCTAACTTAACTAATAATATACATGTTTTAGAATTGATAGACCTTGAATTATCTTCAACTATTGAGGTACAATTAAATAAAATTTTCAAAATATATTTAGGTTTATCGCCGGGCTCTCGATACCGAGTGGCGGCGCGTGCGTCAAACGAAGCAGGTTGGACGCGCGAAGTATTTGAATTCGCGACGCAAGCGGCGGACGGCCATCTTGCGGAAGAAGTTGACGCGCCATTCCCGGCCACAGCTGGGGAACTGGCTCTATTACTTGCATTATGTGCTGCGTTATCACTGGCCGCACTTACTATACTAGCCATATTATTGAGGAGGAAAAGGTTAGTGCTTTTTTTAATCCAAACCTTTTTTTTTATATTTATATTTTTATAGAGTAGACTATGGTGCATTTGCCAACATACAAATTCACATATACATCATAAATGTCGTGGTGGCCCGGAGGTTAAGGAGCCCGCTTATTGCATGAGGACACCCTCGAAACCTGGCAAGTACCAATGTGACTTTTTTTGAGTTATATGTACTTTCTATGATTATTAAGACACCACTGACAAACGGTGAAGGTAAACATCGTGAGGAAACCTGGACTTATAATTTCTAATTATAAGTTTGAAATCGCCAACCCGCATTATTTGTTCTAAGATTGATTTACGATATTCTAACATACACCAAAGTTTGCCTATGCTATAAATTAATTAGCTATAACCACATCACTTCCTACAGGGTTCCGTGAGAGTACGAGTACGAAATTAATCTTATCAATATTTATTTGATTACGAGCTTCTAAGTAATGCATATTATGCTTAAATAACTTGGAGAATATAGAAGACATAATTTACTTCTGGTTATATTTTGACATACGTATTTATTTGTCCTTTATAAGTTCATCCTAATACATATCTTTTTTTTACTTTTATATAATTAAATATTGATGGGATGGAGTATGATTAAAAGCAGAACAAAGAAAAATCATTAAGCTGAGTTCGAAAAAAATTGATTAGGGAAAATAAAAGGATGGATCGTTAGCGTTTGCGATCTGCGTGTGACAAAGTGCTGACATAAGCGGTGTCGCTCCATCGACCCTTTTCATTCCTAGTCTTAAAGAGTCGACGTGTAACATGACATTTGAACGTACCTTTGACGCGAATGATTCGTTTTTACGTCACAATTTATTGATTTTGCTTCAGTCTGCATAATTAAATACGTCATGTATGTGATCCATATAATATAAAGCCTCGTATTTTATTCCTGGGCAGAGATAGTTTTTTGTATGTATCACTCTAGATTTAGGATTATAATAATATGTAATCATTTATTTCAGACCATGTCCATATTCTTGTTAGTAACATTTAACTTGAGAACTAATGTTAGTACACAATAATTAATTACACAATTATGAAGACTATTTTGAGAATCAGGTTTATATTATACTGGGTACTTCACATAGTAAAAATAAGTGATATCAACTTTTCAATTAAAAATAACAGTAAAAAGCAATCAAACTTTAAAAACAACAAAAAACTGTTCGATATACTTAACATTCATATTTTTCTAACGATTTTAAAGAAGAACACTACACGCCTATAGTCTGATACCAAACTGTCGATTGGACAAAATTCAAAATCACACTAAAAATTTCGGAACAGCTGTATACAGTTGTAGTTTAGTCTTAGATATTGTACATCGAAATCTATTTCGAATTCTAAAACACGTGTATCTTAATTATTATTGTAGTTTATTCATTTCATTTCACTCGGAATTTCAAAAATGAATCAATTTAGTTTTCTCTTTGTGTACTTTTAGAAATTATTCCAAAGTTAGTTTTCGTTATAAACGTTTTGGATATTGGACAGAGCGCTGTCAATCAATTGAAAGACTTTTTGATTATGATTGATTCATTGATTTTGTTTGCAATGCATTTGAAGTGACATTTTTTATATAGATATGTTGAAGCTCACTAGAATTTTCTTATGTCGTGGGTTTATTATAAAATAGAACAAATTCTCATAGCCAAGCCACCTAGACATGAAAAAATCTATTTGTAGATCACACAAAGTGTTCTTCCATGCTGTAGTCCAACCAGAAGACATTGCAAAGTAAACAATTGCCCATCAACTGTTTCAACATAACAGTTTACATGGCGACAGTATATACACATAGTGACATGATCCTATTTACATGGCATACACGTTAATAGTACATAACATCAACAATTTTTTTTAAATAAAACTAAAAAGGACAATGAGAAACTTGATGGAAAAATCCTCAGTAAAGATTAAAATCTCATAGAACTTTACTACGATGTACACAGCAGTTAAGCGCGCTCTTGAAATTTCCCCGTACTCGCAACTTATATTTAAAATCCTCGGATTCCGCAAAAACAGAAAGGAAACATTTTACACAACAAATAAAATACAAGCTGCAGAACTTAATGATCGTCCTTGTTGCACAGAAAGGGGAAAATAATTATCAAAACCTAACAATGAAATGAGAGAACTGAAAATGTACGAGCGATAAAATAATCCGCAGCAGTTAGTAAGTCAACAGGCACTGTTGTAAACGTGTTTTACGATCGACTTGTAATAAATTTGCCCCGTACATTGTATGAATATTCAGGCTATATTCATAAATGCTGGAATCGGAAGCTAAACGTGACCTACATAGCGCATAAAATATGTACATACTACGGAAATTTACTATCGATATCCATTACATTAATGAAAAATGTTCTTAGAATTTTTTGCATCAAAAACAAACATTCAAAATGTTTTGTTAATTTGTTCAAAACATACAATAGTTCAATATGTAACACAGTCCAGCCTGAAATTGAAATATTAAATTTCATAAATGGTTCCCCGTTTTATCCAAATAAATATACATTCTGACCTTTGCAAAATCAATTACATTATCTGAAACATAAATTACAATTTCAACACCTCAGTTTTATTAAATCGCAGACCTATGATTTGTTGTTACAATTTTTAATTTAAAATGCAAATTAGTCTTGTTCGTTGAAATATGTTAATATTAAAAAAAATATTACTATATATTTTGAAACAATAATTTGACGTACGATGACGAGGATAACGTAAAAATATTATTTACGTTAAAGAATATTTTTAATCTGAATCTACAACATATATATGGTTGACTCTAGTGACCGTTAAAATTTCACCTATAAGCCTTTATCTATAAAATACATTTTTCGTTGCACACAAAATAAAAGAATTTTCTGGAATTAATAGCCAACCACTGACAAGCGTTGAATGATGTATGCGTAACGTAGGTGGGCGTCCATATTTATAGAAGCAAAATATTTGCATTTTAAATTAAAAATCGAACGCGCAAATCACTGCCTAGTAATTTGATAAAGGTGGGGAAACAAATTGTAATTGTTATTGTTTTTAAAAATAGGACTGAGGGGGCGGTAGCTCGAGTGTCGACAAATGCTGAGAAGCCTGCTTGTGGCACTTACAGAGCACCTCAACATCAAGCCACCAAATTACCACCAGATCCGCCAGGTAAGGACTTTTTACAATAAACTTTGCAATTGATACCTTACTCATAGGATATTAAGGTGTAAAAGAAGCGAATAGTTGTCTCAATATATTTTTTAAATTCATCTAAAGGTAACATATAAAGAATTTAATACAGAAACATATAAAGTATTTAATATTTTCTTACATCAGAAGATGCAAATTTTGATAATGTTTTGGCATAATTCATCAAATATCGTTTATATTTACATTTTAACAAAGAACTAATGAGGTCGTTATGTTCCTCAAGTCATGCCTTACACGCTGTTTATTTATTCGGCAGACACATTTTCTAATCATCCGATTGGAAAGTAGTTTTTATTTTTATTAAGTGCTATTGTTTACGCTACACGTGCTCGCCAAACAAAGCATCGAGTGGCGAATTTCCGGATTTTGACGATCTGATAGTAAATTGAATGAAAATAAAATCTTTGCCCCGAGCCAGTCCACCCACTCACTATCGAACGTCAAATATTTTCATACAAAATTTTTATCTTGCTCACTTTTGTTCTGATTTTACAAAGATTTCATCGTAGCTACATTATTTTCAAGAAAAATTGTGCTCCACAAGTGAATTATTAACATTTTTAAAATCCTCTTTCTAAAAGATCCAATAGTTCAGGTCCTCGTACTTTTCATTATCAATTTTCTTTAAAACCTTGGGAATAAAAGCTGCTAACAATTTTTATGCGTCGAGAACCTTTTACAGGCTTTCAAGACATTTACTCAGGGGGATTTAATATTTAATACTACGGTTCCAATTTTATAAAAGATCCCTTTAAGCTTAGGCTATAATATCGTAATGTGTATCTATGAGAAGAATTATTAAAAAATTTTGGTCCCTGCCAAATAGAAACATTGTTAAAATTTAAGCTCCAATATTAATTAAATATAAATCTTGTTCGCAAAAGTAAAATATATTCCAAATTAAAAACACATATTTTCTCGATCACAGCGCAGAATAAATCCGTTAATTCCGTCGAGGCCGCTCGGACGAATAATTAGCTACGCGTTCGTAGCGAGCGTAGCGGATCGTAGTCGCCGCGTAGCATTTATTTTTTGTATTATTCACGTTTATCTACGGCAACCCTGGATGCTATGAATCATTTATTTTTGTGTCAATAGCAACAGTTTACGGCTCAAGCTGTGAATAAATAAATGTAGGTTTAGTGACGCAATAAAGGGTTATGTGGTATAAAGTACTCAATATTTCTAGTTGTCATTGCAGCCCATTTTTGTTTATTTTCTTCTATTCTTATATTTTTAAAAGAACTAAATTCATATCAATTTTAAAGAACAAATGTAGTGATGATAAGTGAACCAATACAGCACAACTTAAAGTTTACTCTCATTTTAAAATGATTGTTGAAACATATAACTCAAACCCAAACATTGTACCAAAAATAAACAGAATATAATATTCGATATATAAAATAAATCAACGTACGTGTGTATAGATGTGTATGAAATAAGTCCATACGCGACGTTTGCGGGCGGCGCGGGCGCGGTGTCGGGGAGCGGCGCGCGCGCATACACGCTGCAGCTGCGGGCGCTCGCGCGACACGACGACGACGCCGCGCCGCCACAACACCCAGCCTGCTGCGACGGTGAGATTTAGTACTTGCATATAGATAATAAAATCCATTTATATTGTGTCTTCTATTTAACTGACTTTCCATTACGAGGCTTGTTTTTTATTATCTATACTAATATCATAAAGAAGTAACATTGTTGGTCTGGCTGAATCAACGCTGGTCGAATTTCCAAAATTCTTTCACTGATAGATAGCTACAATGTCCCTGCGTGCTATAGGCTGTAAACCATCCCGCTACAATTAAATGGAGCCGAACAGCGGGTGAAACCGCGTGAGAGTAGCTAGTTATACATGTATTGTAAATTTTATTACTCAAAACTATGAACATTGTTTTTGTAGCTGTAAAATTTTAAACAGGATAGTTCTTGAATAACAATTTATTTCCGGAGATGCATCTTGTCAAAATAAATAATGAACTAGACGGGATGTAGGTAATAAATAGTAAAACGATGTTATTTTTGTTATACAGAGGAAACGTGCGTAGACGCGTGCGACGCTCAGCGGCGACGGAGACGTCGACGACATTATTGCCCGGACCACGGTAATAACTTTGATATTTCACACATACGTTATGAAGATATATCCCCTCGGAAATATTCTCGAACACACGGTTAACGACGTGGCTAATCAATAATTGAATAGTATGCAACGCGAGGCTGGTTTATATGGGTGGGATTACTGTATGAACTAACTCTCTGTCGTACACAGAGACATTTAATAATTACTTTAACTATTCCTTAGTTAGACTTTATTCAAATGTCTTCTCTCGCCTAAGGTATGGCGAGAGTTAATGGCCCTTCTGTCAAGAGTGTATTACCTTCTCCTGCTCAGGGCCGAGGCCACGGTACATTTTTGCGGCACTGTGGTGGTCTATTATAGCTCTTTGAGGCGATTGCTAAGGGCTCGCTTAAGTAACCATTAACGGACTAAGAACGGCGGTTTGTGTGATAGATATAATATAATAAGCTGAGCAGTCTTACTTTTCAATTCAAGGTTTTTAAATTTCAAATATTTTCCTGCCCTGGATGGGGAGATTGGGAGTGTTAGACTCTAACTGACTAAAAACTATCTCGTTCCTTCTTCTGCTCCTGCCCGGACATACAGTATTGAGTTTGAAAATAAAATAAAGTAATATCATGATATATTGTTAATTAAATAGATTTTTTTGTCCACAGGTTGCTCACAAGATTCAGGAAGTTGAGAAACGAAACTGCCAAATTGTTTAGTGAAAAATATCTAGTCAGTGTATTATTATAGTTAATTCGGTTATACATATTAATATGTATACAAAAATTTATACAATAATATTGTCTATTTATATTACGATGTTTTTCTTAATTCTACCTATTTTCCCGAAATTTTCAATAAAAAGATAATGTGACACATTATTCATTTTTGTATTTTTTTTCCTTTAAAATGTACCCCCTTATTTTACACTATGGTTACTAACACCGAGTTGGTCGTCTGACAATTAATATTTATGTACACACATTCATAAAATATATCAAAAAGGTATAAAAACGAGCAGGTACTGCTTATCCTTTAATCCTTTCTATATCTAGTAATAGGGAAAAGTTATATATGTATATATAATTTTACATTTCAATAAAGCAAAATTGCATAGGTGTATATATATATGCAATTTTGCATTTCTATATCTAGTAAAAGGGAAAAGTTTCATTTCCGAAATTTGATAACCACTTTTTTTATCTTTACCCCACATTAGAATTTTCTCATGTGTCGTGGGTGACAAACATATCATATACATTACACCCAGACCTGGAGAAACAATTTGTGATCCAAGAAGACTGAACTATACTGAAGTACCCGCGTAATTATGTGTTGTATATATGAAACGCGAAAGTTTAAAAGTTATTATATACTAGAGACTGCTTTGAATGTGAAGAATTGAATTTGAGTAGTTGGCAACAACCGTATTGCAAAGTTCACACCAACAAAAATCCCTTTGATAAAGTTCAGAAGCTGACCAAATGTCTTTAGGCGGATGTCCATACACAAGAGGCTTGCAAAAAATTGCCTTCTTAAACTCCAACAGGTTATGGCCGGACCCTCTTAAAGGGTCGTAGTAAGAAAAAGGAACAAATTACTTCCATATATCCTTGCAAGAAAGCTTGCAGCATCGTCAAAGACAGCCATATATTCATGTTAAACATTCTATTCTGTTTGTTTACTCTTTTATTTTTCGAAAACGTAATACAAAGCCTGTTTCCGAATCTAACTTACGTTGTACTGAGAATTTTATAACCGAAAAATGTTTTTTATGAAATAAAATTCAAATAAATTATGATTTTTGTAAAAAAATACATAGGACACGATTTTTTCTTTACACCTCCACATTAACCTATTTTTACAATGTTTTATACATTTAAGGTTGTCTCAAATTATTGTTTAACTTTTAAGGGCAAACACAGCATGCAAATTTATTTGAGCTTCCCAGAAAGACAACATCTAATTTGACAACTGACCTTAAAATATAGAGCATGTGTAAGAAACAGCTTTAATAAACACATGGGAACATCAAAAAATAAGAACACCATAATTTTCAAGGAAAATATAATCCAAACTTCGAAACTAATATTATAAATGGGAAAGTAACTCTATCTGTCTGTTCTATACGCCTAAACTACTAAACCGATTTGTGTGAAATTTGGTACAGACATAGATTGGAACTCGAGAAAAGACATAGGATAGTTTATATACCAAAAATTTGCAGGAAGTCACTATTCCACGCGAACGAAGTTTCTGGCGAAAGCTAGTAGTATATTATAATAGAGAGTAATTTTTGTTTTTATAATCGATACATGATGAACACAAGAACTATCTTAATGCTGTTGCTATTTTAAGATTCCTTTAAGTACTATTCATTGCTCCTTGGCCATATGTTCCTATATTGATGCAAATCAAAAACATTTTACTTTTTTAAACATATGAGGCTTAAGATAGGTGAGGATACGGTCTTATCATGATAAGGAATAATCCGTCCCAAATGCCTCTAATCCTATCGGATAAAGGGAACATGAAACGCTTACATGACATTAAATGGCAAGTGACGGCTCGTAAATATTATAAACGGAATAATAAATATGTTAATTAATGTGTCATTGCGTAGGCATTTATCATTTCATTTTTTTTTGTAAAAAAATTATTGGAGCTACATTACAAAACAATTTGGTGCTTGTCGCGTCGTTGTAAAAGAAAATATTAAAATCTTAAAGTAAGTACGAATTTATTACGCACATGAAAAATACGATAAAATACCAAATATTTCTGTTAATTATAATCTCGGTTATATATTAAGCATTTCTAAAAATCATTACATTAATGGCAATTATAAGATTTTACAGCTAACGACGAACATTCAGCAGCTGAAAATATTTGTAGTTTCTATCACTAAGCTCCTAAATAGGCAATACAACCCTAATAAACTGATATAACGTTGAAAATCCCGTATCAAATATTAAGAGGGAACTTTAATATTGAGTAAATATATATACATATATAATGCACATACAGACAATATACTCATATGAGATAACAATTAATCTGGGATCAAGGCAGTTGGTTCATCTCGACCGACGGGATCAATTAGTCAATAATCCGCTTACAGGCATTAATGTTTAGACTGTACGAGGTTATTCACACTGAAAGCGATCTCGGACGAAGTCATAATTAAACTATCGTTACACCGGATAGAACAGTAGTTAAGCAAAAGTGAGCAAGAACATGGCTTGGGTCAATATTTTGCTTAGAAACTAATTTTGTTAAGACTATCTTTGGTTTATTAAGTTAGTACATCTAGAGCCATTGGCTATATTATTAGACCTACTCCCTGGATGAGCAAACTTAGCTCGGTAATTATTTTCTATGGTATGGTAAGCAAGGGGCGCCGCCCATGGACTCCTGCAACACCCAGGAGTTTCAAGTACGCTGCTACCCTTTTGTTGTTTGGGGTGGAAGATTGAGCCTCACCTAACCCACACTGCAAATTACTTATTTTTCAAAAATGATACGTCTACACATTGAATTTTTCATTCCCGAAATTTACAACATTCCATCGAAATCATTGATGCCGTTTCCAAAATCCTGAGTAAGCCGTTGACAAGATTTGAGTAAATTTTCCTTTAAAACTTACAATTTTATCATTTTTGCAGTATAGTTTGTTAAGAACTTATAGTGTAAGTAGTGGATAAATTAAAATAATTTAACTCATATTTCAAATAAGCTCTAGTTTGTTTGAACGTAAAATAATAGCATATTTAAACTCATAAATATGGAAAATAACTAAAGAAGCTACCTATATTTTTTTAGACTCCAACTTTAGTGTCTAATTTATTTTTAGTGTTTTACGGAACACTAAAAATAAATTAGTATAAAAAAAGAATAATAATCTAATAATGACGATGCAAAATGCAAAACCGGAGTTCCCACGGCTCGCGTTAAACTCGTCAGTTCTAAGTCAATAACGCAGCCCATAGGCAGAACTAATTCACACAGAAGTTACTCTGTGAATTATTTCACCGCAGTGCAATCTACAATCCGCAGAAGGGATCCGACAGTGGCAATTAAGACCGGCGGCCCACTCACAACATATGGCGACCACACAAAAATGTAAGTAAATTGCCCACAGTTACCCGCACTCGTACGCACTGCGAGAATATTTGCCCGGAAAATTGTCCGACTAACTTTTATTGTATTGAGTATGTATATTTCGTGTTTGTGTTTCTGAAGATATATTAAAACAACTATTGTACATGTCTATTGTACATATTCATCTTTCATGACCGTAAAGTGTTTATAGATATTTTTTTATGAAATATGGCTGCAAAACTTCAGACGCATCACTTACCGGTAAGCGATCGGCGCCACTTATTCAATATTGTAGGAGTTACAAGTCCATTACCAGCCTTTTGGGGGTTAGAGATTTGAGGATTGGACTTGGATTTAGAAATTGGTCATAGGGGAGCGATTAAGACCCCAGAAACATCAGACGCATAACAAAATACAACACAGAGTTTCACGCTGGTATTCTGTATGGCCGGAGTATCAGTCCGGTCAAAGCGACCCATTCGTGCTGAATAATGACTCTCCTACATAAAAAATAAGCTTGATTGTTACTAGTCTATAGCTCGATCCAATGCGGAATATTAGTGAATATAAGCTAATTATAAAGTTAAAATATCATAGTTTAAAATAGATAAAAGCAGGTAAGTTAAACACAACGCGGGCAGGAAGGAAAACGTCACAAAGTTGATGTAGTTCCAAAACGGTTCAGTGTATTACCGTATATAACACGTTTGTATGCTAATTTTATTCCCAAATCCGGTCTGATGGAAAACGGTCCCTCCAAGTAGGTATTATCAGACGGGGCAGACCCTGCCGAACTTTTGGGTCGATTTGATAACACATCCCGAATACGGCACCCACTGAGTCCATTACCTTATCATACAAACGGAATTATTCGAATTTTGTATTTACATAAACGTCATATTACTATTTCGTTAAAACCTCGTGAATATACAGAGTTGTGAGTAAGTCCGTGCGAGGGTTTTGGTGAAGGATTACGATTTTTATAATGGAAAGTCATCAAATTGAGTGGGGAATAAAGATAAGTAATTGAGGTCGTTTTTATTAATGGTCGGACACAAAGCTGGATTATATACCCACTCGGAATTCAAATCTTTTCATCAAATTGCCGTTACTGGGATCCTCTTTTAATTATCTAAATACGCGTATATTATGTAAAGCCTTTTTTTATAAAATCCAGTGTACATTTCGCTGTAGTTGGTAAGAGGATACGGTTGGCTTTGCAGAGGTATATAATAGTAGATTATCCCGTCTGAGGGCTATTAATCACAGGTTTGGAAACTTACACCGATCTCAAGGGCTTACAGTCGTGAGATGTGGATGTTACGGTTGAAATAGTGGTTCACTGTTTATCTATACACTCGTTTACCTTTAAGGGATTTTAATTTTTATCTCTTGTGCTAATAAAATGCGAGTATATTTACACATTCAAGTTAAATTGAAATAGGTAAGTTTGTTTATTGTTTGGTTTAAATAGAATCACTCGGTGAAATGGAACCTTTTAACTCTAACATCTGTACAATGGCAAAAACAAATTGATATTTTAGATACATTTCACTTGAATAAAAAGTTAAACATTTTGAGAAATAAATTGGA